TTGACAAAATATCCACGTCCAATACGATATAACGAAGAGTTGAAATTGCGGAGAAACGGACCAAAATGAGTTTTTAGCTTATGTTGACATAATAATACTTTTATGTGTGTTTTAGAACAATAATTATCTCTCGCGTAACGAATTTATAAGTATGTCACACTCAAACCCGCGACATTGCCAAATAATACATTTTTGTTAATTTCGAAACGATTGAAATACACATAAATATTTTCGTACAAATCGAAAACAAACAACCGTCGTGGGAAACAATTTTATAGAAACATAAAGTAACACTTGCTAGACGTTCTAATTAAACGGTATGTAAAAACAAAAAAACTAATATGCGACTCGAAGGGTTCAAACAATAATTTTCTTAAAGTTTTGTGTTCCTTCGTTCAATTCTTAGTAAATTTTTTATTATCATTAGACACGTTACGCTAATAATAAAACAAATCATGACGGCGGATGAAATAATAGCCAAGCCGCAAGCGGCAGGTATTATGTCGGCTAAATGGCGAATAAATCAATTTGCCTGGTAGGCGTTATAATATTTTCACTATTCAAGTCAAGCAATTCATATTTTACGCATTTACCGCGGCCAATTATTATTATTCGCGTTGCCCTATTGTTGTGGCAATAACGCGTTGCAGCAGTACACTAGGCCAAACGTCAAACGTGGCTGGTACAATATGGAAAACAATAACGGTGCAAAAATCCGCAGACGTCGTTTTCGACAACAGTCCTCTGGACGAAAATTGGAAATTATGTTTTTGTTTTCTTCCAGTTTTGACCGCCTAAAGTGCGAAAAACTAAGCTACGTCAAAATCGTCATGGCACCGATGTTGCGTCTGGAGGATAATAATAATATAATGGGCAAAAGAACAACCAAAGTGGCTGCTGCTTTATGAATAATGTAATTTTCTCCCGACGTCGTGCTGGGCATCCGTCGAAAGCAGTTTTGATGAGAAATTTGAATTTATTATATATATATATATATATAGACTCACACGCGTACGCACGAAACCTAAATACAGACGTCAGTGTTTTTGGGCGGAGTCCAGAAAACGTTGGATTTGGTTTTCAATTATTTTGAAACCAAGCCAAGACTAGTGTGGCGTGTAACTGCGGGTAGGTATGGAAACCATCCTCACTTAAGCTACCGAATTTTGAACGAACCTATATTATAATTATAATATTTGTAACTGTGCGCACCGTACGCCATCAGTGCAGGCACCAAAATGTCTAGGATGGAGCATGAACAGAGAAAGAAAATAATAAAACAAGTTATCGCTATATTATAATGTATATTATACAATCACAATCTAATTTTTCTACTTTACAGCACCGAGTGAAGACATAACTGAGATTAAGACCAGACTGTACGATTTTCACTTTTTTACTAAAATTTATAATTTCACAAAAATGATTGTCTGTATATTATATTATATAGTGCATTAAACGTGAATTTTAATTTTTTTACCGAGAACTATAAATTATTGCGTATAGTGTTTTAGGAAGGGAATAATGGCGTGCTCAAACAATCTCTTAATCGTTTAATTGTATTCTTATAATGTGTGAACGGAAAACATAATACCGTGCGCCAATTTCCACGTTTAATTAACAAAGTTTATTATATTATTTACGATGAAAACCCCAAATTAATTGTAAATATACTTACAATAATTACAAACAAGTTTGTCTTGTAATTAGTTGGAACGTTGATTATCGTGAAAAAAAAAGTTTTTTGTTTTAACTTGGGTATTATCAGTACGAAACATCTTCTCGGGTCTCCTTGAATAGATAATTCAGCAAAATATCAATGTTTTACAAAAAACAAAGTCTGTTTGGCATTAAATAGAAGCGTTGATATGGTATTATATAAACTTATATTATTTCTTTCTCGGTAACCAATACGAGTAACGTTACACCTTTAAACACCTCAATTTGGCGGAATTCCAAATATATTTAAATAAATTAAGATATTAATGGGACGAAGTTACGTGGCGGTGAAATCGTTATGAATATTATTATTTAATATAATATTGTAATAATTGTGGAGTTATTGGATTGAAATTACAATAATAATAATATTATAACGTGTGCGTGCTGTATTTCAGATTTTGTTCGAGCCATGCATGTGTAGCGCTTTGACTAGGGTATTGTAGTTTCCCTCATTAGTAAAACTCGTAGTAAGGAATGGTATAATACTTAAGACGGGTTTTGTCAAAAATAACGGTGCTAAATCGAAAAATTACATCACGACCCAAACGCGCAAATTGTATTATGCATCGTTGTCGTGCCATATATATATTGTAACGTGTTATACGGCTATAATAGTAATAATAATTATTATTACTAGCAGTATTATTAATGTCGTTGTTAATATAATATAATGCGAAAAACTGGGTAACCAACAATGCGGTTTTCTCAGCAACCATAACGGTTATTGGATAATAATCATTTCACGCACATCGATCCTCCTTCGGCAGACGTTGTGGCGGCGCAAACACTATCAATTAAACGCTATCATTTATTAATAGGTAGAGAGCCTATATTCTTATATCTGAAACAACGATGAATAAGTGTGTAAGTCGATTCCAGTGATTTTACAGGGGAGTGATTTTAAACTTTGACCAGCTGCCATAAATCAGAATTTCACTTAAAACATTTGATTTTTTATAATCCTCTTATATTGATAAATATCTTAGAGGTACTCAAGTAGTTTCAAGCTAAAAATCGCTCAAACCCCCCTCTCCTGTAAAACCACATTGAAATCGACTTACACACTTATTCACAGTTGTTATAGATGTATGCTCTCTAGTAATAGATATTGGGGACGTACCATAGAATAGATTTCATCTGAAAGTGGAAGAGTCACTTTCAATGATGTAAACAATATTGTAAAGTCTATTTAGTACTTTATGTTATATTTATACACATCTAAAAACAATAATTTATAGATATAACATCATAGACATAATAGTGGTGTAGCCTTAAGAAGATGGCCGCCATCGCGTTTTTGTTCAATAAACTTCTTCCCCGTGTTAATTGTTATCAGTGTCGAGGGCTGCAATGGGCTAGATAATACTTGCGCCCGATCGACCTTAATGTAGAGTTAAGAATACTAGCCAAAGTTTGAAAGGTTTTACCGACCATTCGCCTTCGAAAATAATATCATATTATACAATTGTTATTGGTTGAAAACGTCTACATCATAGGCGGATTGATTAAAGCAAAAACAAAATACACGCTCGCGAAATAAGTAATGATAAATTAATAATAAAAAAAAATATATCCATTTCGAATCCAGTTTTATTTTTCTGTCCCCGCGTGCATATACACACCACCTATGAGAGCGTATCTTAATGACTAGTCGCCCGAGCCGGGACAATATATCCGATTTAATGCCACTTTGAAATGTTGTATTTTCCCCGTACCAGCCGGTTTTCGCGATCTTCGTCTCCTACTTGTCTCCATCTCTTTATATAGAAGCAATTGATACACGCATACATGACCTTACAGCAGCGGCACCGGCGTACATATTATTATCGTTTATATAGGCAAATGGCGTTAACAAATTTCCAACAACTGTGTAAGACGAAAGGTCTTTGCTCCCTCGGCGATGGCCACCGGCAAACGACCAGCCCCGTCCTGTTCTTGGCCTACAGTCAAAAATGCAATTTATATGATTTTGTATTTATTTTTTATTAATTCATTGATAGTTTCACACGGTTATTCATTTCGCTGTCTTCGTGTCATCGCGCTATGAATATCCCAGTTATCGTTATCGACTGTGTATTGCGCGTACATATTATTTTGTACTTTGTAGGAAGATATCCTTAAGATATAACTTAATCTGTAATACTACTCTTAAGTTCTAAATCCTATTTTTTAAACTTGAATTTAAATACTAAATAGTCACCTTTAAGGGTCCTATTACTGGATAGCATCCCTACTCAAAGTCTCCAAATAATTTATTTACATTGTTAACATATTTGCTTATTGTATATTTTTCTTTATGTACAGTTTATAAATTTTATTTAAAATAAAAATAGTCACCGCCGCCTGAAACCCTTTTGATTGTATTTCGGCGATTATTTACAATTATGAAACGTCGCATTGTGCATTGATTTACCGGTTTCAGATTGTTTTATAATTTAAATGAGTTTGGGAAACTAATTACATTCTTGACACTACAAGTATATACAAAACTTAATGACTCGATAGGTACTTTTTGCCTTCAGAATCATACTAATGTTCCTAATGGCTAATACTCGTACTCAACGAATTATATTGAGACGTAAACGATGCAGATCTAATTAATATCAAAACGCGGGCTTTACACATTGGTAGTTTTAAAAATCATTTATTAGTAACATGAGCTGTGTCACCGGATGGTCGCCGGAGACTTTAACGCCACTTTTTCAAGTCACTATTACAATTGTGATAGCTGATAACAATATTATTATTAATTTCTATTATAGTAATACGGAACAAGTTGTAGGCGGACGTTAATAGTTTTGCGTTTGATGCGCATAGAGCGTAAAAATGCTCACTTTTTATATTCGTCCATAATATAATATTATATACAGTTTGTATTTTAACATAGTACAGTGACTCGCATTGTGCGTTATCTGCAGTTTTATAATGTACAATAAGCGTCGCGATCGATGCGCTTCTTCCTGGTGCTTATTTTATGTTTATCATAATAATATACAATAAACAATAGCTCTAGCGCTAGCCAAGTTCCTCGGACGTTATGCGCTAACATTTAATTGCGCGTCTAAACATAATAACACTATAACAGAATAACAACCATTACGACAATTGCACCAGTGTGTACATATCGTAAAATTACATATTATACCAACGCGGCGCCACCGTCGTATTCTTCCTTCGTCTAAGAACCACCTCCGGTGTCTCAAACCAGACACCAGGCCTGTTGGCGATTAATAACAACTAGGTATATTGTTAAACGGTTTTTGTTTGATGTTTTGCAGATCTACGACGCCCCACGTCCGTCTAAGACCATCCAATCCAAACGCCGAATGACCGAAAACGCGTCTAATCCTCATCGTCGCTGACCGCCTTCGTCGTGCCGCCTCGAATCGTTATCTTTGGCCAAACATCGCCATGGTAATACTGTCAACATGGAGTTTGCTAAGCATAACGGCTTTCGTGTCGCAGATTTTCGCCAATACGGTAAATATAATCAACGCAGACCTAAACTCGTACATATAATTGTACAAGGGGACAGTTTATACACACACAATGCCCGCATAAAGTACCAAAATGAAATACCCCAAATATGTTAATACTAGATACAAATAGTAAATTGTCTAGTACAAATAATTTTTGGTTAGGTCGCGCCATACCCGCACTCCTAGTAGGTATCTAGTATTACTGAAGTCTTGCATTTTATTACGACGAACCTTTCCAAAACGGTCACCGTACGCAAAGACACTTCGATTCGACTATAGTTTAATAGGTTTCAATGTTTAATTAACATACAATATGATATTGTTGTTACAACCTTATCAAAATCAACAAAAAATAAGGACACACAATATAGTAATAAGAATGATGATTGATACTTCATAGGGACACATTCTGTGTTTTATAATTTCAGAGGCATTCATGTTACGAGTTTAATATTCTTAAAGTTAATTCCAATAGCAAACGAAAAAATAACAGTAAAACAAAATAACTTAACGAAGTAGCTAACTATCACAGAAGAAAATAAATTAATAAAGATGACAATAATAACAGGGATAGAGCTGAAACTGAGATTGGAGTATAGGTACCCATTACTTTGCAAACAGACATAAAAGCTGGTCTGGCTAGATAATAGGCAAAGCGCAGGATAGTTCTTCCCCAAACTTAGAAAAAGAAGTATTGTGCTAATTACTCATTACAACGTCTTCCGTGACTGGGACAAGTGTGCAAATGCGCAAAGATAGGAATAGTTCGTAATCTAGAGATTATGCATTATTTAGTAATGAATGTACCATGAAAGAACAAGAGTGGAAGTTTACAAGACAATATGATATTAAAAGTAAGTAGTTTACTAACATGCGAGTAACGTGTCTTGTCGATTGCGGTTTGTTCGTGCGAAGTTAGACTAGGTACATTGATTAGCGTGGCCGGTTTGAACGAGAGAAAAGAAAAGAGAAGCAGTTATAATATTAAGTACGTGGTCAGTGATCTTTGGTCACAATAACATGTAATAGGCACGTTAAAGGTTATAACGTGTAATGATAATGCGGGCAAAAAAATTAGGAAATAACAAAAACACGATTTCGTTACGTACGAACAAAATGTCAACTTGGTGTGTGTGTGTGTGTATATGTTAAATGAAGGAAAAAGAGAGAATTAGTGCCCTCACCCCCTCCCCTTCTTTCGTACAACTCAGAAGGGCGTTGGGTTCACCCGATACAATAGAAAACGCAAACTGAACACACCATAACAGACGAAGGAGCCGACCTACTACAAAATTGGTTCATATCGCCGCGGGTTACTCGTAAAACAACGACCAACTTATATATTACATATTACATTATACTAAAACAACAATAAACTTGCACATTCCGGTCCATTGGCCGGTCGACCATTTACGCAAGTGCACTAGTTTATATTGTTCGTACCATTTACATTACATTATTATCAATGTACAACGCCGACAGCAGCTGCTACGCAATTCAACTTTACTGGCGTACAAGCTATTCTATCCATATCCTGAAAACGGTTACACTCGCCTAGGATAAGAAAGTTGGATGTATATCGAACAAGTCCAAAGTCGGACTAACTCTGACTATAATTTGTGTATAGTAAATATATTATAATCCATAGTAGTGTAAACGTAAAGGTATCATAACTTTATACGTGATTCATAGCAACGTTGGTATTATAGTGTAGAATAGTTACACGGGATCGGATTCTCCTCGGTCGTCACAAACATAATAATAATGTAATTAATACCGTCAGAAGCGTTAATAATATATGTATATCCGATGACTTCAAAGCTGTCGTTGCTCATGGGCGACAAGGTTAGATTTCACAGATTCCTATGGTCGGTTCGAAAGCAATACACGCGTTTACCAAAACACATAACCAGGATATTTGAAATATTTTCCATGTAAATCCGATAGTTCATCCTTAAACAACGGGTTTAATGTAATTCCACGCGGAAGACCGTACTTATGCCTATTGTTTTTGAAGGACTCTAGTTGAAAAATTAACCCATCGCGTGCGATCGTTATCTATAAACAGTGAAAATAATATAGCATGCATTTTTATCATATATTATCAGACATGTCGGTTGTTTTCATTTATTTTTTTTTTCCATCGGTCCTTGGACTTGTGCATGTAGTACTGAGCTATCGAGCACGTACTTCGCGGCGGTGGCTTTTCTGATACCAACGACCTTCCCACAGCCAACGAGGTCATCGGTTTTTCGGTAATCCGTCGTCACTCACAGGCGACACCGAACCTTAAATTTTCAATCGGTCGTCCTCGGACAAAGAATAATAATATTATTATTATTATATAATGAATAGGTAATAACAATAATATCGATAACTAACTTCATCCGTTGGTCGGGCACGACAATAACATGCCATATCAACCCTCGACCAAGGAACACAATGGACCTCGTGTGCTGCTCGTGCACCGAATATGTAATAACAGTGGATAGGATGAACGGGTAGGGGGAAGAAATGGAGTTGGGTCAACGACAGCCGTAATAAAATATATATAGTTGCTCTTTGCGCCGACCGGAACACGTGAGCTCGTACGAACAAAATATATACCGCACAACTGTTTTAATTTGCGAGACCTCATGACGGCGCTTCTGAAACAACAAGAATTTCTTACTTGACAAGTGTACGCGACCGAGATAAAATCAGAACACAAATTATGCATTTTACACACAACATAATATTTAACTGGTTATACTACTAACGTTACACACAAAGAACTCGGGTCTAAAATAAAAAAATATGTGTTATTAACAAATCATCGAGTCCACTTTCCGGTACCTTTAGCTTTATAAAAGAGTTTTGGCATGTAGGTATAGAAAAGAATGTCGGTGGCAATAATATTTACCTACAAGAACATTTTTGCTTAATCCGATAAATGCGGTAGTCTACCTAATCGGAACTACTATTGTAGTTGGTGTTGCACCTGTTGCACTAGGTGTTATGTGACGAGCATGACATTTTAATAGAATATATCAATATTCATATCAATTCCAAACGGAAACTCGTGAATCTGACATAGACATCATCAGCAACATTATAATTACTATACTAATTTTGTATTGTTTGCCTGGAAATCTACACTGCGACCGAATATACGTCTACTAGGAAGTCGTGGATTTTTTGGTTTTTTTTTTATCTCTCATCCGCCACCGACGCAAGTTTCTCCGATATTTATCTGTACACGTCGTGCCGCCTCAAATTTTATTATACAACCAACTGCAACGCCTGGGCTCTCTTGTCCCATAGGTATAGTAAGTAGTTAGTAGGTGCGTACTTACTACTTACTGCACAGCTGTGACGGGTGGATGGATATGAATTTTACGCAACGTGCGCGCACAACGATCGCCGTCACGGACCGAACGCCTATCTGTCGAGTTATCTCATCGATCGTCGAAGTACATAAAAGAAAAAAAAACAGAAACATTTTCCCCTCTATTTTCGTCGATTACCGAAATTCATAACGAGACCGTTTTAACGACCTACTAATTCTCAAGCGCATACACCTCCAAGCAATAGATGTACGTGCCCAAAGTCCCAACCAAAAGCACATACACACACATTGTCACACAAACAAAACTTAGTAATACTCCAATGACAAATGCTAATTATTTTACAAAAGTGATCTTATTTGGTTTTGTTTTTTGTTTTTACAGTTACACGAACACATGAACGTAGATGACCTGATGAGGGTATTCCACGTAGAACACCATTCTGAAGGTAAGTGTCGATTTGAGACGTCGCTCTGTACGGCGATTTAAAGTCGGCCAAACGAATGATATAATATTGTACTTTTTATATACAATCTATTTAATCGTTATATAATTAGCGAATTGCTCGCGTTTAAGTAAAGATATCTTAAATAAATTATAAAAGGTTTCTAGCAGTATTATATAATACAAGACCCACATGCCTCGTCGAATGCATATACTTCCTTGCAACGCATGCATTTGTTTACCGCTAATACGATACGTCATACGTACTTGTTGAAAGCCGTATATAGCCACTGCCCACTTTAATGTATTTCAATTTACAACCTGACTTGTATAGTATTATGTTATTGATATAACGTAATTAATTATTTTTTTGTTCATTCGGTTCTTTCACTTGACTTTTATTTCTTACTTAGAAAGTACATTCAATTTGAAGTGTACCTATTGCAAATATTTAAATGTGGAATTTGTTTAAAACATGTTTGCACTACAAATACACTTTCTACTGACACATTTTTTTTTTAAATTGTCAAATCCCTATTTCATAACTATTATTACTTTTTACAAAACTTGTTTTTTTTTAGTTTAGATATAGCCACATAGTAGAGCAACTCATTTTGATCATCTATGTATATTTCATGTAGTTTGAATTTTGACAAAAAATGGTCTTGTATTGTAACAAATATTAAAATTGTATTTGACAAATAAGTATTGCTCTACAAAGTGGCTTTATTATATTTATAAACATAAAGTTTTGGGAAAAGTGTTTAAAAAAATCTAGAACATATTTTTAAGATTTTTTGAAAATCTTGATATTAATTAAGATATCAGTCATACATGTCACTAAATTATGCGCAATACACTTAAATTGAGATCTGCTGAACTTTTTAATCAATTAATACAATATAATATTATGTACACATAAATAAATGAATAAATTACAATTTGAAGTGGTGAGAATTAAAATATCATTTTTATAAAATTGTAATTTTGAATTTAATTGTTGTGGCAATATTTTGCATGCGATCTGAGGAATGATTTCAAATGTTTTCGTTAACAATTTTAGCTGTCTAACACGAATTATACAATTTCATTATTTCTCACGGACCGTTTGATGTTTTAGTTCCTCATTACGAAGTGATCAGCCCGCATTCCATCGTCCGAAGGGATGCGGCCAGTTCGCACAGGGTAAAGCTCAAGGCTTTCGGTGAACACCACGACTTACAGCTGGAGCCGTCCGACAATCTGCTGGCTGGCGACAAACTTCGTGCGTGGACAGCTCACCACAACTCCACCACAGACACAGTACACTATACAGAACTGCCCGATGTGAGTATGCCAAGAACTTTTTAAACAAAAATTGTAATTTACAGTTTTGTCCAATTAACGTACTCACGTGCAGTTTTTAAGTACAATCAGGAGTGCTTGAACGCTTTGCTTATGCGTTTAAAATGTTCTAAAAATCTTATGTGTCCTTGAACAAACCGTTTTGTGACCAAATTACACAGGCTCGCCGTTTGAAACCTGTAATTATATAACTTAAAACGTGCATACCTTTTATTTTGTTTGTGCACTAAATGTATTAAAAATATAATCCTTTAAGGCTTAGGTAATGTGTGTCCATTAGTGACAAACCTATACACAAATGAAAAGAGTTCAAAAGTTTTAAAAAGTAAAAAAATAAATTAGTTAAAACGAGAGTATTTATTTGAATTTGAATAGAAATTAGTATGCGAACATGACTGAAATTAAAATACCGCTTTCTGTTTAAGAATACTAGACCGTAGTTTCGTGTCGTGAGCGTTCAAAATTTGTTTAATACATCGAGCAAAAAATAACACATTAGGCTAGCTATTTTTCTATAATATTATAAATGCAAATTGATTCAAGTAGGCACTCCGTATGACAAAACATAATACTTTAAAAAAATGTACCTACACCACATAATTATTTTCAAGTATTTCTGGTGTTATTTCTACTTAAAACGTTGTCTTCATTGCAATGCGATCACTATTTAGTGTTTTATTTTCCACAACATAATTTGTAAAAAAAAAAAAGATTAACATAGAACATAATAAAATGTTTGTGCAAAAATTAACCATTTGTTTTTAACGGTTATTTTCAAATTTATAATTAGACGTTGGACACTAATTGGACGTTTGCTTACGGGCAGTTATATGTCTTTTAAAATAATATATTTTATGTTAAACGTAATCCACCGGTGTGGGTGAATCGATAACGAGCATGTAGCCAGTTGTCTATTATACCCACAATATGTGTACAGTGTCAGTGACGTTATTCCGCAACCGTCTGTTCAATATTTAATATGGTAAATTGCAATAATAAAGACGTATAAGATAATAGTAATATAAACGAAGACGAGCACGTCCGTGGCGGTACCGAAGACTATAGTAGGCACTTGTGTATGAATAAAACATATTATTCACTACTACAGGCTAGGTAGGTAAACGTGAACGTCTGTCTGTCTGTCTGCGCGGTGTATTATGTGTTGCACTAATATAGCCATCGCCGTTGTTGTTTTAAATAATACCTACACATAAGGTGGAATCAGCGAAAGTGATTATTTTTCCACGAACACGGACCAACGTTATTAGCATAAGACTCATTGTTATACATTTTTTCAATTATTAACCGACCCTTGTTGAGGAATATTATAATATTATAGTCTCGGTTGTAACCGTGTGGTTGAAAAATATTATGCGCGTTTTTCGTTATCCTACGAGTATAAACATATAAAAAATATATAATAATAACAGCATTAAAATAAACCGAGACAAAAATTACATGTCGTTTCGACTAATTTATGTACCGAGTTGACTCGTATCCTACTGTTGTCGACCCCGAAAATCACAGTACAGATCAACGCAACACTGTAATAATATACCTATCACGAGTAAATATAATGATTTTTTCAATATTTCCTTGTACACTTTCATGCGATTCAAAAAACCATAAATAAATGGATAAAATCATAGTCAAACGAATTTGCCATTAGGTGTGTTGCGCGATTAAAATGCTCGATTATTTCTAGTGTAATTATTTTGCAAGCGGTTATTTTAGTCAACTTAACCACGACCTCCCCACATGTTCACGGCATAGTTTATGATATAATATACTTAATATAGTTGTAAGTATACTGTATAAACATACATAAGTTAACACGTTGCTGTGAGACCACTGAAGTCTGAAAGCTAGTTTTGTCGCCATCTTACTTGGATCTAACGTTGAAACAATATTATATTATTTCAAAAATAATTATACCTAGACAATCTCCAACAAGTCTAAATGCGGAAGAATTATTATTTATAACCCGAGAAACTAGTAACACTGTTTTACAGTAGTTTCGATTTTTTTATTTTAACTATTACAAAAATTAGAATACATTTCGTACAAAATTCTTAGTAGCCCTATGTTGTAGGTACGTTATTATATGTACATATATATATATATATATATTATTTTTTTTAATCTAACGAGTGAGATCATCCTATATAATATAAGGTCATGTGTACAGTGTACACGTTCAATAGTCATTGAACGAATACTTTTGTTGTTACTCGGTGAAATGAGTTTGTCAGCAAAAGAAAATAATATACATACTTATATATACAATTTTTTAGTGTAATATCTTATACCACAGTATTTGCAATTGGACAGTTTCAAAGAACATTTTTTTTTTATAAGTCAAGGATTAATATTTTTCACGTTCAATGAATACGAGACCGATTCAATTTCTCTTTAAATTCGCTCGGCTCTGCTACTATGCAAAAAACCTTAAAACCATTAGGATAAGCCATTCCCATATTGAGTAACGTAAAATATGGTGTATTATTATTATTATAACAGACAGACAAGAATGTTATCTGTATACGTTCGTGGGTGGACATAATCCGGATGGTATATACCGTTTTTCTGTTAATCAAATGGTAATAAAATAGCGTTATAACTTATGTGCGTGCAATATAAATCCGGGAGCAGAGTTGACTCATCAATTTAATTTGGATCCAACATTAGTAATTGATTTTTTTTTTATGCAGATAAATAAAGGTATTTTCTTTGCAACGAGTGATTGTGTTTTCAAATTTATGTAGGTATAGTTAATGCGTACAAAAATACAAGGCGCGCCTCGCATTTCAATATTTAAAAAAACATGATAATATGAAGTAAAACGTGTCCTTCCAACTATCAGTATATTAAGAGCAGCGCGTCACTGTAAAATGTGTTGGCTTTGTGCGCTGTCAGAAATCGGACTGCCACTTGTCAGTTATGAATAAGAACAAAAACCAAACCGCCAATTACAATAATTAAAAAGGATATTACGACCCAAATTACACTTAATTGAGCGAAGAGTTATTATATCCAAATTATGACTAAATAAAAACATTAATTCAAACAATAATTAAGCCAATGAAAAGTAAAGTAGTGTAAATTATTTGTTTCTCGAAATCTTGATGGTTGTGAGTGTATCATTTTCAGTTTACACGTTCAGTTGAACTAATCAAATATACATTTAGTTTTTTCTTACTATGTCTTATAACCTTAAGACGTGTTGCTCACATTTTTTCTTGACTACTCTTTTTTGTCGGCTTTCCACAAATTTGAATTATACTTCTTAATTATTTTTTAAGGAGCCTCTACACTAGTAATTATTAAGGCGAATGGTACAGGCAATTTTTTACTAAAAATTAGAATGATTTTTTGGCGTAGACGCACCTGGTGTAAAAATGTACAATAGACATACATAATCTATCTACAACATAAAATTGTATATACAAGTACTTGAATGTTGAGCATTATTTCGATTTAATTTTACTAATCTTAGATTTACATTAAATTAGTTAATGTAACAATATACCTCACGGAAAAAAATATTGTTCAATTGGGACACAATACAAATTGTAGTTGGAATAACTAAACATTTGTTTGGCCTAACTGCTTTTTTTTTTAACTATCATTCAACTATAAATTTATTGTATCCAAATTAAGATGACCATAATAATTTAGTAGATCCAACTAAATATGTATTACCGTTTCCGTGTTATATGAAGCCAAGAGTATTTATTAATCGTTTGATTTTTTTTTTTTAGGAACACATCGGTACACCTTATCAGGACGTCGACAAACGAGCGGCGCTCATTTTGCACAACGATCACAAGGATGGGACAATTCTAATGGTAAGTTGACACGAGGTCGAGTTGCAGTAACATTTAAGTAGGCCGAGACGGCTTGTCCATAGTAAAACACAAAAAGAAAGAAACAAATAATTCTTCTGCGCGGGTACAATTATTATTTAGGATGTATAGCGGTCATGATTTTAATTAACGAATTGACAAACAATCGTTATACCACTGGCTACTGTTGTACTCGGTCGTTGAACACTGGATCTGTGATGCTAATGCGGACACTGTAACTAATAACTATGGTACTTATATGTTTTTTTTTTTCATTATGCCCCCTCGCGGTCCATGACGAGTCGTCCGAGATGTTGCACAACTATTATTCTGATCGTGATTAAAATATAAATACAAAAAAAAAACTTATAATAATAATAATACATTACATCCAGACGCGGTATTGTTGCTGTTATTGTGTTGTATAACGAGGCGGCGGCAGATTGCTGATAGGCACAATCACCGGACTGGCTGTTTGGCGCCGGGATGGGTCTCACGATATAAACATTGTCTCTTGTTATACACACAGAATAGGGAAGACATATTAATTTGTTTTCTATGCACACCGGACTGAGATTTTGTTCCGTCGGTATGCGCCCATACACGGTACTGCGCCTGACCCCCGATAAAGTTGTGTAATATACCGCTGTGTATAATATAAGGTATATGGATCGTTTGAAGTTGACAAAGTCATTCATTAAGGTCGCGCAGTCGTCACTTGACCCAGTATACCCGTGCAATCAACTCGTCACTAGACAATGATAAGTAATTCGCTTCTGTAATACATTCGCCGTATGTGTAAGACGACGACGTGCAATTTTTAGCTGTGTGGGCTCGCTCAAGGTTTATAATAATTACGAGAAAGACACAATTGGTAAGATTAGTTTTTTGTAATACATGCCAAAAAGAAGACGGCTGTCTTGTGTGCAATTATATTCTGTTGCACGCGAGCTCGATGTGTCCCCTTCACGGTCTAACGAAATCGGTTTCAATTAGTTTGGGCAAATCATCGACTGTATATTATCGTAATAAATAGATATCTCTATTGACGGCCTGGCTGTATGTAAAATACATTAATAACCCATTAGTGCCCTGAGTCGTGGCCAGCGGAATACCGCCAAGACGTTATTGCTTGCTGTGAAATAACAGAGTACACACACATAATTATTAACGCGGCTTCGAAAGTACATTTTTCAAGCATTCGGTATTTGCTATGTTACCGAGTTATAATATTATTATTAACACGAATGAATCAAAATATTTTTATTAGTAGAAGATCTTGTAGAAAAACTAAAAGTTCTATGCAGTTGATGATGAATACAATTATTATTAAGAAGCTAAAGTAATCTTAATACCCTGAAAGTACCAATTACATCATAGTTTTACCACAAACTAAAAACATTGGTTTACACATTTTATTTTGTCATGAATTGAAAAGTGATACTTGCTCTACAATCTATAATAAATCTCTATACTTGTTTTTCAAGAAATAAGAAAATATTATATCGGAACCATCAGAGAATTTACCTCCTGCAATATTTCTTGAAATAAAAATTGTATATCTTTTAGTATCAAAGCCCGCAGTATAATGTTTAAATATTCTTAATTCTAAAAATCTAATACCATAGTTATATATGATTACAAAAGTATACATAACCACTTTTTTCAATTATTTGTCATTTGAGGTGAACAGCCAGATTTCTTATCTTAAACATGGTAGCATCAAATATATCTGTCACCGGCTGTAAACTACAAGTCGTTAATAATTATCTAGCGTTAACTATCCAGGGACATTTACATCATTTCTATTTACATGCAGATAAAATATCATTTTATGGTGTAATGTATGTAGATAAATTCTACAAAATTAATATTTATATACTTAAAATGAATAAACAATTTTGCTGGCTGTTTGTAGAGATTAAAATGCGCATCTTAATCGACAAAGAATATTTAATGGGAAAACGACGTTCTGGTCACTAAGTTCATAATAACCTCACATGACCAATAACTTCACAGAATTTAGCTATATCTTTTATAGTGTCGTTATTTTCTAATGGTTTCGACGAACATAATGTACCAGTTTCTGAAGATATCGTTATATTTTTTCCATGGTACCTATATGACAACAAATATCCACGTAACTCGTAAGGTCACTAAGTAGTGTACAGTTGAATAAGTATAAAACGTTTTTTGTACTGGGTATGTGTTTCCTAAAAAAAATAAAACGAGCTCCTAATTAAAAAAAACACAGTTTCAGTCCACTGTGGTTAAGTTTTACATTTTTTTGTTGAAAAATGCACATCTGGGTAATTTTTTAGTTTTGAGTCTCGACTAAATACGCAATAAAAAACAGCTAAGAAAAATATCAGAAAATGCTAATGAATTGTTATATCATAATTGTACGTTATCACAGTGATCAGATGACAGAGAAAACGTTCTAAGCCTTATGGCAAAATATGTCTACAGCAACATTCACTCACTATTATACCTTTTATAGAAGCTATATTATATCATAAGGGCTGTGGCAATTACCCCGATCAACACTCAATTCGATAGCCATGATTGATATTAATTTTCTATCGTTGACAATTTCTTCAAATTCAAGACAATGTTATCTGTTAGTTTTTGAAGTGAATTTTACATATGTATACATAACCATTGATTATAAATATTATTATTTTTAATCAATGATATAACGAATGAACTTTTTTTAAGCTTTGTATTCGAGACACAAGTCCCGATAAGATATACATCCGAATGCAGTTGGGCGCATAGATTTCAATTGTGTTCAAAGATACGCTATGAAACGAATGATTGTGTTCCTTACATGGAGATGCGCTTGTTATTATTATAATTATAGAAACGTATTCGCGCGTGTACTCCGGTTTATTACCCACGGTGACGTATCTAAAATAACACACGCACTCATTATAACTAAATACACTACCATTGCAATGCATTTACATTGATGAATTATTTATACAAGTATTTCGCTTGAAGTGTACAAATAATTGGCCCACAGTTTTAAGAAGAAGTCTCCGTTTCGTTTATGATGTCAACATAAACGCTATTAATAGGTGTATAGTTGAATATATTTTGTTTTAATAGGGCTAATGGGCAATAAATAAACAATATTGAAAAGAAACACGAATTAACGACATGTAAATTTTCTATTGAAATGTATTTGATGGTAATTACAGTGACCATCCATAGAACATTAATCAAATCTACCGACGCTATACCAAATTACACAAGTGCCTATAGGTATAATTAATAGTGTAAAAATAGCGGTATGGATTTCATTAAGTATTTCAAATATTATTTTTTATAAAAACCATATTACATTTCCACATACTTGTACATAACTATGATTCGTAGACACTATATAATATTTACACCTACCGCATAGGCAGTTTCGATAAAACTTGATCTTGCAGTTATAAGAAGGCAACAGCACAAACTATAAATCAAAAACATTGGTGATAATTACATTTGCATGATACTTGCCAAGTACTACTCCGAGTGATAAATTAAAAATAAACGGGGACGACAATTATCTGTTCCTGTTGAACCATTCATAATGGCAAAACACATGGTACCTACTTAATAATATAAACAAAACAAATAAATCAAACCTTTTATTAGGCCAATCGATATAGGAACATACCGGTTGGATATTTATGTTCAGTAACCCGTTTCGACCTCGAAACTCTACAATAGAATTATACATATTAGTGATAGAAAAAGATATAGATTTGTCAAAATATTAAATATCCTGAAAAAATTACTACATTTTCAAAGCGTTTTTCATAAAAAAAACTATGTTTACCTAAAAAAAACTCGTTTGTTGATTTTTTAATTTTTTTTACCACCTTTAGACAATAATAAAAATGTACTTAACCGAATCATTCAAGATAATAAAATACCTACTCGTGTGACATACTAAACACAAGCTAGTTGCGATTTTCGAATATATTACATTTAAATTATCTACTTAAACAAAATATAGGCACGTTTAAGCACCTATTGGCGGTTTAAACTATTCTGTGTATTTTACGATTTATTCGCCCTCCCCAATGACAACATTATAATGTTATTTTAATCGAATAGATACATCTACATCCAACTTACATCTTTGTCAGAGCCAAATTTGTTTATTATAATTTTATTATTTTCGTCTACCATGTTATTATGTTTAGCGTTTGAAAATAATACACCTACCTACCGTTTACAAACTACGATACAGAAGGTCGATTTCCATATTTACTGGAGGGCCAATTGACAATGAAAACGCATTACCCTAATGCTTAAAATGTGTCTAAATTAACAACTATCACATTTCGAAATACTCTGATTTTAAATTTCTCAAAATGTTCCCATTATGTTAGTATTTGGTTAATTATAACTTCTGAACTAGAAACGAACGTTAACAATAATCTATTCTACAAAAAATTTCAGTTTCTCCATTTTAGAGAAACCGTAATTTGTAATGATAAAATTAATACTATACTAGTGAATAGGTCACGTTAACTAAGAGAAAATACTATTTTCCATTTTTTATAACATTGATAATTATTATAATTAATTCTAAAACGTCGTATTAGCTTTTTCCTCATAATTCTGATAAAAGTAGAAGGTCCTAGAGCTATGGTGATGTAAAACTGAGTCTTGACATCTGTTACCTACAGACTACGTTATCAAGTTAACCATCGTTAAAATAAACCATACATTATTATTAGACCTACATATAAATTTTGCATAATATTAAGTAATATTATGTGTTTTTTTTTTCAATCAAACAGTACTTCATTTCTGTATTTCAATATTATTTATTAACCTAGTATAACTAATATATTATATATTAGGTATATAATATAAACGTGTAAAATCTAAGTCTTACACGAATATCGTTAAAATATGCATTGCAGTTAGATGTATTTTAGTAGATATAGCGAAGATCTACTGTAAATATTCACAATACTATAAAACAAATAGTAAGCACGGTTCCATTTAATAAACTGAGACAAATTCAAAACGACTTGACTTGTTTAACCCAACTATGGCGTACATAACACATCAGGGGACATAACAAGGTTCGATGTTCTCATAAGACGTAAATAGGGATAGGCTTCTAGATTGATTTTCTTGGAACTGAACGATATATTCATATTGTGTTTATGGACATCAAGTTGTCATACATGCGCGTTTGAAACGAAACACGATTTTTCGTTGTCAGACAATAATTGATCACAAAGAATAAAAATGATACGGTGCGCAACCGGTTTTCGGGCTTGCCGATTTCAAATGGAATCATAATGAAAAAAAGGGCAGGATAGGCGTTTGTACATAAATTATATTTTACCGAGAAATTTAAACTCTGAAACACACAATACTTGTCACTAGTTTTGTATGGAACGTTTTTCTTCATCACTTCATTTTAAGGGTACATAAACTCTTTAATTGGAAACCATTATTAAAAACACTAGTACAGTTGAAACTCGAAACCAGTAAAGTCTAAACTAGTACAGTATAAACCAGCACAAGAATAAGAAATTAGTTATCAAAATTTAGATATGAAGCCATTTAGGAATAGGGGCGTGCCTAATAAATGTTCTATAAAAATACCAAATTGATCTGACCGCACTAACCGATACATCAACTTTATACTTGATAGTTTTGGAAATCTTCCAGTTTTTTTTTTAACGTAATACAAAAAAGTAATGGTTAGGTTGCGACGATAAACGGTCGAGTATACATAGGAGGTATTCGTATTAATTATGATTTGCATATTTAGAAAAAAAAGCAGAAGTCCGATTACGTTTGACAAATAGTCTTCAATTAATTCAAGGTAATGCTCGTGTGTAATAAACGAGACGTTCATTTCGATTGTCTCCCTTGTTATATTAACATAACTGCCAAGGGAAACGGTCATTTGTCTGAAAAACACAAATAAACGAGACTTTTAAAATCATGTTTACTTTGTTTGCAGGAAGGAACCATAGGTGATCATTTGGTAGTTAAGCCAATCCCTTCAGTGTACAGAAGGCACGTCCAGTCTACTCCAGACGACGAAATGTTTTTGGACAAAGAGATCAGTAACGGCGAAGACGTGGTGTCCAAATATGGATTTCCCCTCAAGCCCCAAAAACTTGTTGCTCACCACAAGCACGTCGTGTACCGAAGAAATCCGGAAGCAGACACCAGTTCCGGAGATTACGGTAGGGATGCTCGTGATAACCGTAACTTTTAAACCGGATACCGTTAATTTAATTTACGACGCATTTCGCAGCATTAATGGAGCCAGACTCATTGCCCAGGAGCAGACGGAAAAGGTCAATCACCAAAAGAGAAGCCCCTTACGCCATTTATCCGGAAATCATGGTTATCGTTGATTACGACGGTTATAGGTTTGTCGATTTTAATATTTTATTGATAATTAAACATTTAAACGAATTATAACACTAATAATCAACATATTATACAACTTGTTAACAAAAAATTAAGGTTGCACGGAGGAGACAACGTACAGATTAAAAGATACTTTGTATCCTTCTGGAACGGCGTGGACCTCAGGTACAGACTGCTCAAAGGGCCGAAAATTCGTATAAGCATCGCCGGAATTATAATTTCAAGGGTAAACATAGCTATAGCTTAATACACGAACACAAGTTAAGAGTAAAATAATTAATTACAAGCTAGGCATACCGACAGATTCGTCTGTTTCTATTCCGATTTCTTCGAAAAGAGCTTTCTTTGTTTTCGGGCAATTCTCTAAAATCGAGTCCAATATGTCCACGCATATGCGTTTCCTTTTTCTGTATTCCTTGGTAATTTTTTCGTAATCGCTTTTCACTCGTTCTTTATCTTTCTCCGACATCTTCACGTTGTTTTTGGATAGTTCTTCCAGCTTGCGTTTAAGATCGGACACGGATTTTTCCAGCTCGGCCACCATGCCCTCCGCCTCTTTGGTGCTGTAAGTACTCCCCAAGGTTTTCACTTCTATTTCGGATATCTTGTATTTTTGTTCGACGTCCCGCAAAGCCTCGTTAGTTTTCAATATTTCCTCGTCAATCTTATCCATTTCCTTTTGGTCGTCCAGCGTGACGTCCGGTTGCATCACGCAATAAACCTTTTGCTTGCCGTATAATTTCACAAATACCTTGTTGTCTTTCACTAATTGATCCAGAGCTTTGTCTACGGCAGACTTGCCAATGTTCTGCCGTTGAAGACTCGAAAATACATCGTTGGCACTATACGGTCGGTTGGCCGTCACCATGAACTTGTAAACTTTTTCCTTTTCCATGTTAATCTGAAAAATATAAATGGAACCGTACGTGAAAATATCCATCTAATATTTTAGGCGCGGGACGCTACGCCATATTTAGAACGAAACAGAGTCGGCAGGGATGCTATTGACTCGGCAGCCGCTCTAACCGACATGGGAAAGTATCTATTCAAAGAGCGAAGACTGCCAGTGTACGACATTGCCGTTGCCGTTACCAAGTGAGTAAACATTTCCCAAACACCATAACGGATATCATGTCTTAAAAAAAAAAAATGTCAAATTTTTGGAATTTATTGATGAATTCATTTCATGTACTGAGACCGTACGGTTATGTTCTATGTTTATATATACGTACGGGTCGTTATAACCGACATCAAATGCATTTAGGTACGACATGTGCAGACGTCGAAAAGGAGGCCGTTGCACAAAAGGAACGGCTGGTATGTGGTAAATAAAAAATAAAAGGGGAAAACGCTTTGAGTGATTCGGGAAAATTTGTACATACAAATTTTCAAACCCTTCAAAAACATTACTAAACAACCTTCTTGGTGCAACGGTTCATTTGTATCAAGTGTATTACTATTTTTGTGGTGTAATAACCAAGGCTTCTATAACGTGTTTAGTAGTAGACGTAGTAGATCATATTAATTAACATTATGTGTAATGTGGTTGATAATTGTAATGCGTTACGACATGAATACCCACGTTCTTGAGGATCGATACACAATGGCGAACCTAGGAGCAAACATCCATTCCGAGCGGATTAAAGCAAATCTAAATGTTTAATTTTCAGATTAGACATGTGCAGGAGACAATACCCACACGATACATGCAACAGGGGTACCGCAGGTATGTCCCTGAGAATCCAAAATATAATACAGTGCACTTGTAATTTTTTTATGGCCCCAACGTCAAATACTTCCGCCAAAATATTATATAGCACTAAAATTTGTAATTTTTGCAAATCATAAGGTACAAACAAACTTGGTTCGCTCTGTACGGCACTGAAATTCGGATTACCACCTGGATATCATAATATGTAATTAAGGACACCGTATATCTTCTTTTACACTTTTTGTAACTAAAGAAAAATCATGCAAATTTATGCGAAAACGCTAACTTGTAAATGAAAAATTTCAAAGCATTTCACAACAGAAATCCACCGCAGCATACACAAACGCATCGGACACACAAAAACACACACATACAGCTTATACCACTACAATACAACACACCAGCGAAAGTCTTGTGATTTGCTTCGGAAAATACCAGATTAAAAATAAAACGCTTAAAATGCTTATTCTGTATAATGGTGTGGTGTTTCTAGTAGAATTTAAGCTCAAATGTAAATCCTTTTGTTAAATAAAATGATGTATTTGTATGTATTTATCATACACTGTAATGACTTTCAAACTAATAATAATTATACGCTTCTACCAATATTAACACACGGTGCTGCACAAGGTAAATAATAAACGGTTTTGTGCATAATAATACAATTTGTATACACGGTATAACAATATAACACGATCGGTCTAATGGGTTGTAAGTTTTAACCAAGCTTGTAAACTCTATTTTGTTGGGTAAAATAAAAATGATTTTACTGTGGCATTTGCTGATTTTGTAATCGTGTGCTCTTAGGGTTTGCGTATGTGGGTGGAGCGTGTGTTGTGAACAAACGTCTTGAAAAAGTCAACAGCGTCGCCATCATAGAGGACACAGGCGGCTTTTCTGGTATCATTGTGGCCGCACACGAAGTCGGTCATTTGTAAGTCACGGACACCGTATACATAATAATTAATACTAATATAGGTAATAGCGGGTTGCCTTAAGTGTAATTAACGACAATACTACTTCAGATTAGGCGCTGTGCACGACGGTTCGCCGCCGCCTACTTACTTGGGAGGGCCTGGCGCTGAGAAATGCCGCTGGGAAGACGGTTACATAATGAGTGACTTGAGGCACACTGAAAAAGGATTTAGGTGGTCGCCGTGCAGCGTTTCGTCGTTTCATCATTTCTTAAAGTTTGTTTTTATTCCACTTACACGCGCGCGCATTACATTCAATTTTCCTGATATACTTACTGTTTTTCAATTGCAGCGGTGACACGGCTACTTGTTTGTTCAACTCGCCGCACGAAGACGAGTCTTTACCCAGGATGTTGCCCGGAAAACTGTTGACGTTAGACGCCCAATGCAGAAAAGACCGAGGGACCAGTGCTTGCTTCGTAAGTGTCCAGTCTGCGAAAAGTGCAACATTTCTTAATAATAAACTTTTGTTTGGCAACCGTATGAATAAAAATTATAATTGTTTCATCATGCACTTCGATTAAAAAAAGCCGGCACGGTGCCGAGTCGGAGAGGTTACGGGGCTTCAACATATATATATATATATATTATAATTGAACATGGTAAACTCAATTATTATAAAAAGTTTCTACTCCTTTTAGGGGAAAGAGCTAACAATATTATCTTGATTTTCATTGTTATGTCGACAATATACCATATTCAAAAAATACCCCACACAAGTTTGAAACTAATTAGACTGTTTATAAAAAAATATGGCGTACCTAACGTAGTTTTAAGTGAAAAATTCAAACTTTTTAGTGTTTTCCTCGAGTTTAAAGGGGAAGAGTTAATCTTTTATGCTTTTTAACCTTATTAAGGGGATTCGATACCGGCCGTTTTTTTCAGTCAAAACAAATCATTTTTTGTCCATCGTACAGGCCGAACCAGTAATCCGATAAGTAATTTGAAAACAGATTTGAATTTGTCATCAAGTTTACTTGAGATCCTACAAGGCACTTTTTTCAATTTTGAATTTAACCTTTTACAAATTTGATTTAAAAATTTAAAATTTTATAAAATGTTCAAACGTTTTTTATTCATAGTAAGAAAAAGATATCAAAAAAGTACCTAGTAGGATCCCAAGTAAACTTCATAAAGAATTCAAATTTGTTTTCAGATTACTAATCGGATCACTGGTTCGGCCTGTGCGATGGACAAAAATGTACTATTACATTAACTTAAATAGCTTTTACTCATAGACAAAATGATTTAAATAAAAAATAATACCATGAAGCTTATACAAATTAACCGTTAAATTAATTGACACGGTCGAAATTTATTAAAACCACTTTTTTCTTAAACATTGCCTATACAAAACTCATTAAAAATAGTCGGTATCGAATCCCCTAAGTATATTTCAGGTACAATTATCGAACTATAATTTCACTACATAGAGACATCGGTCTAGTGGTTAATGATGTATTAGCTCCATCTCGAAGCTAAAAATTATATACTTAATAATGGATATTTTTTTAAAAGAGATAATTATATGATATTACATTATGATAATTATATTTAGGTTTACCTCTAAAGTCTAAATATTAATTTATGTTACAGAAAGATGATCGGGTATGTGCTCAGCTGTTCTGCTTCGACGCTGGATCGGGCTACTGCGTAGCATATAGACCAGCGGCAGAAGGTTCCCCTTGCGGAGACGGACAAGTACGATATAGACAAAACTATTTCGTTATATCATCGCAAATATACAATAAATTGTTGTTTTTTTTTTTTTTACGATTTATCAGCATTGTACGAACGGCAAATGTATAACTGAACACGAAAATATTATCCCAGATTTCTCCCAAAACACTCCATCGTATCTTCGCAGAACGGGAGAAGTTCACGAGGGAGATGCGACGCAGAACTGGCCTCAATATTTGTCTCCTAATATTACAACTCAAAGGTAAGTTCAAGACTGGCGTTTTTATGCAGAAAAATTACAAAACGTCGCGTGCCTAAATTAGTGTCTAGTAGCGTGCTTAGATGAGGTAGTTGGGGTGGGGGGGGGGATATATCCCGGCAAATAAATTCTATTTTTTAATCAAAAAGTCAATTAGTTATTATGTCTAACGAATTTTTATCAGGAAATCAATTAAATTAAGATTTCAACATAATTCATAATCGTTAAATGAATAACGGATGCGTTCCCGGGCAATCCATCTATGTGATTCAAAATTCGTTTTTTCATGCAAAATGATCTAAAAACAATCCCTAATATATAGCGCACTCTTATCTGAGTTCGTCTAACTTTTATTTGTAGTTTAAAAGCGAACCAGTAAATCATCAACCATATCTCAACTAAGCAGTTTTTTTATTTTACTACAAATTTGATTTTTGGAACTTCGATCACTTCAATTATATAATACATCTCTTAATTATAAAAAATGCTTGGACACGTCACTGTTGGTACCTTTGCGCAACGATTAAAATAACATTAGCACATTTAATTCTGAAACTATATCATTGTAAGCACTGTGTATTAGGTGGCTATTGTACATTATATTAAAGTCAAGCCGTTGTCATATTTAAACTGAAGTCAATCAGAGGCCATGACCAGATAATAACAGTAGAAGGAGGAGGGGATAAATATTAACAATATAGATGACACTGCTCAATCTATATAGTAATATTTTAGAATATCTGAAACTCGCTAGCTCTATTTTTTTTAAATTATTTATTACCTTTAAGAATGTGCGAATCAGCTTACAGAAATGCATTCAACACACGATTGTAAATATTATACATTTAGATTTAGTTTAGTGTAGCGTGTCACATTGTGTAGTAATTAACCAAAAAATTGATACCTAGTAATATGTTGCGAAAGCGATTGTAAAGCTTTTGAAAATCATTAAATTTGGCGGCGTTCTAGGTCCGTATGGAATGACTTTTGGAAGACTACACAAAAGACTACTCGTACCCCCCTTGTTAACAACTACTCGTACAACCATAAATACACACCAAACTCCTATCAAACACTAACTACAACGACTGAAACATATGACACTCAACTTTCGCTTTTGCCACAACAACAGTACAGTAATAAGAACAAGAACGAAGACCCCTTAGCTTTACTGCTTAAAAACAAATACTATCATTTGGGGCCGCAAGAGTTGAAAACTGTCAATCATCAACTTCTATTACCCAATAACCCAAATGGTAAGTTTCACAACAGTTTTAAATGATCACTTCCTCATCATTCGCTCGGTACTCGAGGTTCATGAAATCACTTCACTCCTATCTGTAAAACAAACTGCCATCAGGAAAGAAATATAACACAATATTATCCCGTTACAAATACTATACAATAAGTATAATAACCAATATAGGTATTCAGATCAAATAACAGCAACATAATAATAATACAATAACCGGTATACACCTAATATAAAGTAACATCATTAAGTTCTCACTAACAACAAGATCGCATGTAAACATTTATCAATTAATTTGTTGCATACTAAAACAATGTCATTCATTTAACTAATACAGCTCAATAACAACAAATCATTTATAAACTTTATGAGTGAAACCTATTTACGGACAACTATTATTTCTAGCTGATGAATGCGTCGACAAGGCTGGAGCAATGGACAAGTGGGGAGCCGTATCATGTTATGATTACCTAACTAAATACGGCTTAGGATACTGTTCGAATCAATACATCCAGGAAAACTGTTGCGCTGCAGTCAAATACATTTGCAACAATGCACAATATGCGCTTAACGGCTGAACAGCTCGTTTATTTTATTCACCATATGAATAATACAACATAAATAATCTCTGTGAGATTAACTGATTATTATTATTTATACATTGTTACTCTTTAATAAATAAATAAATAAAACAACTTAAAACACAGTTTTGTTGTACAAGTACTGATGCATTTGTCAAACAATTTACTTTAACACGTGTTTCATATATATATATATATATATATATATATATATATATATTATTTATTAGAGAAAAATTGTGAAACAACAATCAGTATTTGTAAATTTGATTTAAGTATATTGTATTGTGATAAGTGCATAGTCGAGTTTCAAAATCTTTTTTAATTCATAGTGTTTGTTTAAATTCTAGAATAAACACTAGAAAAGAAAAAAAAAACTAAAAAAGATTTTGAAACTGAAAAATGTGATTCAAAATTATATTTGTTTTATATAACAACTATAAGAATACCTATATTTTAATTTTAATGATTAAGATGTTGTTTAGATTAACTATTAAGTATCAGGAATGTATATATTATATATATTTAAATAAAAATACACAAACGAGTTAGTTTTCTTATTCAGTCAGATTTTATAATCAAAAGTGTAAAAAATTAAATAAAATACCTTCCACCATAATTATTCAATTAAACTAGAATTAGAACTAGTTTTAATAATAAAAATTAATACAATTTTATATTAAAATATAAATTTAGATTTATTAAAAAATCCTGGGGTAAAGGAATCATGAAAACCGTTGAAAGAACTATGAAGTAATATCACTCCGGACTTCAGTTTTACTGTCTATTAGTCTTTGAGGAGGTGGATCTACTTCTGTAATGACTATATTTGCTGGTGACGTTTGCTGATCATGACTTGTTTCCCCAGGATTACTTATTCGTTTTTTGACGACCATACAATGACTTGTCTAGCACCCAGTCGGATCACCATGGCCAAACTACAATAATAATACATTTTAAATAATGAAGTACATAAATAATAAACTAGATATATTTTTTTAATTAAATAAGTTTTAAATAAAATATGAATATTTATAATGCGTTTGAATGCGTTTAAGGCAGTCTACTCAGAATTGTACCACTAAAATCGAAATGATAGTGTAAGGCCACATTATCTAATTATTTATATTATTACCAATATATTTGACGTTTGTTAGCTAATCATTAGAACTATTTCCTGCTTCCTAATCATATATTATTACCAATTTTTAGCAACTTAACTGTTATTTATATTTAAGTGCATCCATATGGATAGAAGATAAATATAATAAACACTATATTCAAATACATACACTTATTGGTTAATGGCTAGCTGACATTAAAAGAAAATATAATCATCACATCAATAGGTTTTAATCAGGTAATTAAAGTCAACCCAAAATCTAAGCCTTTTTAATTCTTTTTTTTTAACATCATGTTATTATTTAGCAAGTAAATATTATTTATAGAAGTGTGTACAGAGGAACCCATGTTTTATAGGTTTGACCAAAAATTAAAGTCTGCGCTCGTCTAAGCTTGTATTACATCAAAAAGGATGCATGTTGTGACGATTGAAAACGGTACACACAAATATTAAATACCTAAATTAAACATTAGATGTAGTTGTTAGATTAATAAAATAGGGAAAATATTTATTCTAATGATTTGTTTGATTTTATACATCAAAATAACCTAACAATAATAGTTGATGTCTAATTATTAATTTACTATTATTTCAAAATAATCATTAATTATGATGAACCCAGGCGAGAAATCATCTGGTAAAAAGAAGCCGCGATCTCCTTCTCCATTGACGGACTGACAACCCGCCCTGGAAAACAAATTTGTCCAAAAACCATCATCTCATGATGGCAGCGCTTGACCTTCAAGACCTGTTAAGCTTACACGATGATAATGACTAAAATAAACAGATAGTAATAAAGAATATACTTCTATACATTGAAATGACAATTAGGTTATCACCATCAAAAGTAGAATTTTCGATTACAGTTGTAATACATAACAGTTGAACAAAAAATTGTTTCAATGTATGAGAAACAGTTTAAGGTTATACCATAAATAACCGAGCATAGTAAGCATAGTAAATATGATAGAAATATAATAGATAATCTATAATATAAAATTAAAAACTTTAGATTCTTACCTAATAAAAATTATAATAAAATTATTTTAAACTAATAGATCTTATATTATATATGTATACATATAATAATTAATGAGTCACTGAAAACTTATCTAATCTATAAGACCTGACCTTTTTAATAATAAGAATAAAATCAATTTTTTTTTTTTTAAATACGTAGTTTAAGTGATATCTTTAATATGATATTAAGTATTAACCATGTATTCTTACCTAATAGCTGCCAATAAGCCGGCCGGCATTATTTTTCCACTATTCAAGTATCTTACTCCCATTATACCTCCTAGAACAGCACTAGTTCCCAAAGAAAGTGCAAGATTATTTGGATTTTTAGATAACTGATATGCTCCGAAACCCAATAAGGATCCAAAAACTAATCCAGCAGACAAACTTGGAATACTCGCTGTAATCATTTGTAAATTACAAGATGTATAATGGCGTGATGCGATCAATTATACAATAGGTATCTTACCTGCTTTGACATAGCCAAAGATGCCTCCTGCGGCTACTGTTGCTGCATACGCAAACTGTACATAGTCTACTTGCATTGTTGTAAATGTTTAATGTTCTTTGTGAAAAAAACTTAACGCAATTTAATAGGAAAAAATTAATCAAGACCCACAGGCTCTACTTTACCACAATCAACCAAGTATAGGTATCAAAATATTAATCCAGCTTTCGAAAAAACAATATTAATTACACAAAGGTATTAGGTAATCAGTAATCACGTTTCCCTTCACCACGTTTGTTTAGAATACATTATAATATATAGTAGCAAACCATGTGATTACCTTATTGGATACTCATGACATGACCTTGCAATTGATAACATAAAATATCGGACAGATAAGAATTACATTACATTATTTAAATAGTTAATGGCCCTAATAAATGGCCCACCTTCACTAGAATATAAATTACAATTTTTATCTAACTTTTGCAAATCTATTTTACGATTTATTGCCGTTAGCTTCATACCGTAATTTAGTGAGTTTCATAATAAAAATGTCTTACAGCATCCCAAAATCCATTTCTAAAATGTATATTCATACTGGAAATGTGTTAAACACCAATGATTTGGTACAAAAAGCTGGTCAAAACTCTACTGAAGAGGTAAGAAAGATTGATTAATGATACATTCCACGATATAACCATTATAGTAACTCAAATTGAATACGACTTTAGATAATAGAATGTTTGAATACTTGTTTGGCGAAATGTCCATTGCCATTTACAATAAACGAAAAGTCCATCCATTTAAAGTGCGATGAGTGTTATAATAACAACATCGAAGAAGAAAATGTAGCTCTCAGAACAAGTGTAAAGATATTTTTAACTACAAATGAGGTACAAGTTTTAGAAGATTCTTTGAAAAATCGTAAGCCATCCTAAATTAACACTATACTATACCCTGTCCGCTGAGAGAGCATGCCGGGTTTGCGCATGTAGACTGAAGACTAAGCAGCCTTCGAGGACATGTTGGCAGACAGGGCAGTCTCCGGGGGGGAATGATAGTCACAACTGGGTGCTGCGCAGGGATGCGAAAAACGGCCAATTTTTCGTCGGATCGCGACATGGTCTATTGGCGAACAGGTTATATATATTATCATTTATTGTATACTTTTTAATCTTGTTTGTGTATTCTTCAGTTTTTCAAGAATTAAACGACGAAGTTGTTGATTCAGTAATATTAGCATTTAATCATGGGAAAGATACATTACTGGCCGATGTATTGACTTTATGGGCTGTGCTAGAAAGTTATGTCAACAAACAAAAAATCACACGCATTGGTGTGAGCGATGTAGATACAAATTTGTTTGTTTCATTGTACAACAACTCAATAGTAAGCTATTGTGTGATAATCTTAAAAGCTGATTATATTTAAATAAAATATAAATTATAATAATTTCAGATTAAGCCAACAATCGTACAAATTAATCTTAACTCATGCTGTGTGGTCCCGGCTTCTTTACAAGAATTTACTAAAGAAAGAGATGTACAACTACTTACACATAGTGACTCGCATGGTATACTACTAAATAATATTTTATTAAGATTGATTGATTTTTTTACTTACATTTCCTTAATTTTACAGAAATTTTACCACAATCTAGTTTGGTCAAAATATTTAGAAGACAGCCAGATCTTGAACAAAATGTACCAAAGCTTGAATGGATCATAAAATACTTAACTCACGTTAAGTGTCGAGGAGTACTGGCAAGTAAAGGATATATTATTTGTCTTAAATGTTTATAAATAATTAAGTATAAAATATATAACCAATAATGGCAGTTTTTTTTTCATATTCAAAAGCTCATTTTCTATAGTGAACAAACTTAATGTAACTAAATTTTTTATTATAACTCTTTAACAAATAATTTTACATTTTTATTTCGTAATTTTTTTTAACTTCTTACAAAAAAAAAAAAATGTTTATAGAGATATACAATAATAAGCACCTATTATTGTTTAGTACCTAAACCACATTATTTTGAAAAATCTACATTGTATTATAATTCAAATCATATTATCAAGTTTAATTATTTAATTTTATACATTTTACTGTTTCCAATATTTTATTTAGAGTTGTTGATGTGTAATAAAATGTTTATTTGTATTGTTTAATTAATAATATATGGCCACAATCCACAGTCTGGTATAAATAGTGCTTGACTTTCAAAAACTGTAACAGTTATACAAATAAAAATATATTTGTTGTATAGTTTATATATTATAAACTCTATATAAAATTGTGTTTAAAAAAATTTAATTAAGATGTCGTCAAAATTAATATTTTTATTATGAGCTTACATCTAATTACATAGTACAGGGTTTATGTAAACACAAAATTACCAAATAATGGGTTAAAAAACAATAATTATAGTGTTACATATTTAACTTTAGCTTTAATATGTTTTTTTAACCATATGTATACTAAATAAGCATTTATAACTGTTAATTCAAAAAAAAAATTATTAATTAATTTACTAACAATTTACTTGAAAATTTAAGATAACTTTTAAGGTTATATATTTATTAATTTCAATATGATATTTAGTTTAAAAAATAAGTATATTTTTTTTTGTGTGTTAGTTAAGCATAAAACTTATAATTTTCATAGAATATACATATTTACTATAATTTTAAACATAATATTGGACACACAAATTGTGATTATTATTGCTTAGCATTAGCAGAATTCACTAGCAAATAGTTTATTTAAACCCACAACCATTATGTAATATCTAATAAAATATCACAAGACCGAAGACATACAGTTATAAGGTATAGAATGAATAACTAATGTATGACTCTTTTATTAGCAATAATATTATGTAATAATGTAGATAACATAATATGAAGGGCTGAGAGAAAAAAGAGCATAGTCAATATACCCGAAGTTTTCAGTATTGCAGTTTTAAAGTTTCAAAACTAAAAAAAGACTGACATTTAGTATAAAATAGATAACGCACATAAAATAATATTGTAAAAATAAATCTAATGAAAAAAAATTGGCAAGTGATTATGATCGTTTTTCCTCACAGCCCTTCATATAAATAAGTGATCGTACATAAATTCTTTGTTTGCGTTAATTGTTAGGAAATTTGGAAATCAAATACAACATAAATTATTGTTTTTGTATTTTAAAATAAAAATACAATATTGTTGATCATTAAAACTGATTATATTTTAATAAATTCTATATATTTTTAGTCATATAGAATTAATTCATTTAATTCACAACTTTACCTTTGGAAAGAAGTTAAAAACACAGATTAGATAAAATTAGTTTTATCTAGTCTGTAGTTAAAAATATACTTGTTTTGCATTTAAAACCCGTGTATAAGACAAATATTCAATAGACTATTTTATAGGAAAATAAGCTTTGATAAAAAATGTATTTTTACTTTTAAAATAAGTAAAAAACAATATAATATCAACAACATGATACAGTGATAAGACACTCTTTTTTTCTAAAAATATTGACAATTTTGTCGTTTTTGGAGAAACATTAGTTTATTTTCTTACAATATGTTAAAGTAATTATTTACGTACGTCAGTATTTTCTAGAGCTCTATCAACTTTTGAAACTTAAATGGTAATGTATAAATTTAATTGTTTTTTAAAATTAAAAATGTTGACTGGTTGATGACTAATTAAGGATAATTACTTTTTTTGTTTAAAATTTAGGACAGGAAGAAGGATGGAGTCTAGCATTAGTTTTATCTGTGGGTGTTACTCAACTGCACTACCTCTCCCGTCCTACATTTATAACTTAAGTAACTTTAAAAGTAATTGTCCAACACTAGTTATCGACTAATCAAAGTTTTCAGCATTTTATTCTTATTTAAAAAAGTTTATTAATACCGACAGTATATTATATATGTTACCGTTAAGTTTGAAAAGTTGATAAGTTCTGAACAAAAATTGAAAAAAAAAAATTTGAATATTTTCTACGATTGTTAAATAACATAAACTTAAGCGTTTCCAAAAAAAACAAACTACAAAATTGCAAATTATTAAAAAGAAAATGTATGGCATATCCTTAATGAATAACTCTGTATACATTGTAAAATTCAAAAACATATTACTCCTTTGCTTTTTCATAAGTATTTACTAGAAGACAAAACAAAGGCTAGTTAACTAAACATTGGGTAATTGTAGCCAATTTGCACTAAAGACTGAAAGCTACCAACGAGAATAACCATACAGCTAGTAGTGGAACTGTGACCTTTTGAGCCAAAATATATAGTTTAGCTACCTCATTTTTTAAACAAGTGATATATTACCCAAAACCTCATTCAAAATGTTGAGTTACCTACTTTCCATACTTTATATAATATATTAAATTATATATATATATAATTTAATATATTCACAGTTCCACAGTGAATATATACATGTATATATGTTTATATACATTAACAATTTTTGATATTAAATTTTATCATCAACAGATTTGTATTGTCGTATATTGTCCTTTTATGGTATACGCCCAATAAACAAAAAGGTTTGGTCTATTCTGTCCATCCTAACATGGCACTAACCCTAAGTAGATTCACCTTGTAAGCCAGTAACTCCTAAACTCGTTTAGATACTTCACACACTTAGTCGGACGTAACCTAGATCTAAGATTATAATAAATTAGTAACTTCTAAGTCATTTGTATTCGAGTTAGGGACTTTATTTTATTATAATCCGAGTTGAGTCAATGACTCAATCTGGGTGCAAATCTAAGGAAAATAGGAACTACATCTCACAGTGAAAAACTTAGTAATGTACCCAGTGATTATTATCAGAATGGAACCTTTAAACTGTTTATGATGTTGGATTAGGTATCGTTTTTCATTAATCATAAAGAAAGGTATACACAAAAGTCAACACACAAAATTAAAATATTATTAGCACACCAACTATTTTAAGTTAAAAAGAAATGTGCGCAAAATATACACCGCGTATCAGATTGGAGTTTACAGGAGAGTGCAACTGACATAGTATTTTGGGTGGTTTTAAATAATAATAATTATTGTAATTTTCACTGTGTTCTGTTCTATTGTTTACCATTTGGCCCACATTTATTGCTTAGTTTATATATATATATATATATGTATATACTACAGTATCTAAGTAACTTGAGCAGTCACTAGGAGAATAAAAATTAAGATTTGAGAAATCTTAATTAATAGTTACCACACTTAAATCTGCTTATACGGAAACTTAATTGCTAAAAAATATACTGTACTGTAAAAATGTAACTACAACACAAGGGTTATTCAGTTTAAAAATACAATACTTACATTTATAATATTTACTGCAGAACACGAATAAACTAAAAAAAACACGTTAATAATAACACATTATAGATCTAATTTACAAATAAATACAATAGAATTAACACTTAATAGAGACTAGAGAGAAAATGTATACTTGGGTCGGGTTATCAAGTGTTTTACATTTTGGCGCGAAATTCCTAAAAAAAAAACGTGTATGAAGTTAGCCTCAGAATATACCCCAGCGACATTTCTTCCAAAAATTGATAAGAGATAAGAACTGTCGACTGCCCCAATAATAATTTTCATCTTCTAGCTATAAATGATTCCGCCGACATTATATTTTAATATGTATACAGTATATAAAAATTATAATAATATATTATGAGCCCTTTAAATACCTATGTCAAATTTTTTGAAATTTGTGATTATGATGTAAATTAATATTTAAACATTTGTACAATAAATTAAATGTATAATATAAAAAAATATATCATGTTAAAAACCACAAATTTCAATAAGTGTATTATGCACCACTTTGATTTTGAAGGGTTCATTTAATGATAATCTAATATAATAGTAATTACATCTACCGTGACCAACAACACCAGTAATTATTGACAACACATGGATATTAAATTTTATCAGCTATTATCACGGCTTATCTTCTAATAACAATATTACATTATAATTATTTCATTAACTTATTTTTAAAATTATATTATAATTTTTAATTTTAAATTGTATCTAGCATAGTCCTATAAACTAATTAATAGGCCTAAGGTGTCTTGTATAGTATTTTGTATCATATTGATTATTTAATCAATGTACTTAATTTAATTTGTAATCTATAATTTAAAACTTTAAATTTTCTGCTCAACCAATTACTATGAATCATAAGCTACGTAGAAAAAAGTCAAAATATCAATCAATTTTAAAAAATGACTTACATATTGAATCAGGTGATAATCCAACTAAGGTACGTACAACGGCGAATCTGAAACTACTTGCAGTTAAACTTTAAATCGCTCACAAAATGTGATGAAAAATAAATTACATTATGCTAACAAAAATATTTATATTTCGCTTATTGAGTATTAAACTGAAATATTTCTTTTGAGTTTTTTTAATTTTGAATTATTATTTCTTATAGAACATAATGTTATGCAATTACGGCCTGGTGAATGGATTTGGTAGAAGTCATGTAACACAATTGTTTTCTCAGTATGGACTCGTGGAAAATATTACTATGTTACCATTTAAATCGTATTGTTTCGTTAGTTATTCCAATGTACAAGAAGCAAAAAATGCATTTGATAAAATTAATGGAAATACTAGTGATGTTCAAAATCAGAGGCCACTTTATTTAATTTACACAGATTCTGGTAAATATATTTTGTTGATGTTGTAGTGGTAATAATTTAAAAAGATATTCAAAGATCAAAGCAAATTTGAATGGGCCAATTTAACCAAAAAAATTAAATGAAGAAATATAAGCGTAACAAAATGTGTATTATATGTTTACAGTTCCAAAAACAACTGTGTTGCTACCAAATTTTCCTCCAGGGTTGGAAATAATTGACCATTTTATTACCGACGAACAAGAAGCTGTTTTATTAGAATTTTTTAATGAAAATTGGACCGATTCAAGTAAAATAAAAATTAAATTTTGTGTTGTTTGTTATTTAATATATATATATATATATCTAAAATATTTTGTAGGTAGTATGAAGAATCGTCAAGTAATACATTATGGTTATGAATTTGATTATGATAATAATGGTGTTAAATTTAATAGTTATTGTGATCCAATTCCTAAAGAGTTTGAATTCATAATAAATGCTATTAAATTGCGTCTAAATTGGTATCCCAATCAAATAACTATCAATCGCTATTTGCCAGGGCAAGGTAATATTTGTTTTATCTGCTTTTAATTTATAGAAAACCTGGTCATTATTGAAATCTTTTGTTATTTAAATAAAAAATAAAGTTACAAAGGAAATTTCCTCTTTTGTTTAAACAAATTTACATAAAATAAATACAAATGAACTTTAATTTTTAATGAAATTTATACAATAAATAAAAGCTTCTTTAAATAAATGTTCATTTTCAAGTTAAAATGATTTTTTTTTAAAGTAAAAATGGAAATATTAATTTATACAATAACAGTACGGTGGGGTTGGGGTATAGTGGTTACGAGGTATAGTGACTAGGAGACTATGAGATCATAAGTCATAGGAAATATTATAACTGAAAATGATAAAATAACTTTCAAATGGATGATACTAAATATTGATAAAAGTATTGTGAAGCCTGAATGTATTTAAAATTGTATTTTTAGTATTATAGTGGATACTGGATACAATTAGGGTTTGATATGATATCTTATAAAGTTCCTTTCAAGTATGATTTCTGATCTATAGACCTGCTACTTGATGGAATTAGTTCAGCGATTTGGAATATGTTGTGGGTCCAGATATAAAAGTAAAAACAGTACCTTCTGAGTTTTGCATTGAAGTTGAAGTAATAAAAGAAATTTGTATTAAAATAAAATAGCCTTACCGTCAATTGCTTGACATTAGATTGCAGGCAGCTTTGTTTAATGGACGAATGAATATTTAGTGAAAAAAAAACTACAATCCCTTCCCAGCAATTTTTTGTTTAATTGGGTTATTATTTTAAAAACTATCTGTTAATGTATTCATACTTAACTATATAGTGTTCCAAACTAATTGATATTTTTGTGTTTTTAGGTATTCCAAGTCACATAGATACTTGTGGTATATTTGATGGTTACATTATATCATTATCATTAGGGTCTAATATAGTAATGGATTACAAAAATGACAATGACCTATGCAGTGTTCTTCTAAAATCTAAATCTTTATTAATAATGTCTGGTGAATCTAGAAATGACTGGAAGCATGGTATTACACCTCGTAAATTTGATGTCGTTAACACCATAGATGGACCTGATATTGTGTATCGTAAAACACGAATATCAATTACATTTCGACGAGTAGTTCTATATGAAGATACTATTAAGGTTTTTAAAATGTTATTTTACCTTAGCTAAAATAATTTAACTAAGCATTTTATTTATTGATAGGACAAACAAAATCTCTACCATATTTTGGGCTGCGATCCTATGTCGTCTTATGAAACTCTAAAAAAGAGCTACAGGAAATTACTTTTACAATTACATCCAGATAAATGTGATTCCCAATCAGCAGCTAAAATGTGTGCAGATTTAAATAAAGCATGGAACGTTCTAAAGGATTCAAAGTTAAAGAAATCGTATGATGAACAATTAGAACAAAACAATATGGACTCACAAGTGACTCTATTTGAGTCATTACATGTTCGAGATTTAGAAAAAAATGAAGCAAATGATACTTTATATTATAATTGTCGATGTGGTGGAATATTTTCATTACCAGAATCGGAAGTTGTAAATGAATCTTTCTTAAAACCACTATTGATTCCCTGTGATGATTGTTCATTATTTGTTGAAATAAATTTCCCTTAGGGTAATTTGTTCATTCTTGAATACTCCAACTATCAAATTATATATATATATATATATATATATATATATATTAAGGTTTAACATTTTAACAAACAAATTAGTGAATTTTTTGTTAATAATTTAACGTTATTTCCTCCTACATTTTTGTAGGTCATTTGCGGTCATCAAACACGTTCTTTTTAAAAGAAAAACTTTTAATTATTTTTAAAATATTCATATTTTCTAAAAAAATGATGAGTGTTTTACATCAGATCCCTGTATATTAATGTGAAAATAGAATCTTTGTGCTCTGAAACCGATTAATCCGATCGACATGCAGGTTTTTTCAACTTGTGGACCATACCACGGGTCAAGTAGTTTATTTAATATCATAATACGTTTAAAAAAAACCAGCAGCTTGGATGGGATTTGAACTACGACATCTCACATGCCTTAGTATTGCACTTTTCACTACATCTCTACCTAAAGTGGCATAGATTTGCAATTTTCCACCTTTTAAACTATAAACAAAGCTTGACGTTGCAATAATTGTATTTACTAACCCGGGCAGATGGGCAGCTGCCTGCTAGTATTATTATATTTACTATTCGTAAAAAACTGTTTAACCCGCCAACTGCTACAGCACTGAAAAGTATCGTTTAAACGAAGGGTTATCTTGTATTCTGGCAGTTAACGAGTTGAAAAAATTTACCAATAGTTTTAATAATAGTAATAATTAAAACTATAAATGACTATAAGTAGTATTAACATTTTACAAGTCATTTTTTTATGTAACATTTTTCTTTTCTTAAAGAAAGGATAATTGTAAATATTCAATAATTTTAATTTTCAACACATAAGAAGGTTTAGTTTGTTTACATTTGATGCAACACTGTGTATAATTCATAAAAATAATTTATATAACTGATTCAACAATTAACACCATGTAACATAATACAATAATGTTTTTTTTTTACAGTAGTTCGTTAATTTGATGGTTTCTATTTAACTATTTAACAACATAAATAATATTTATTGACAATTTTTTAAAAGAAGCTGGTTACAAATAATGAACATTTTGTAAGATAATTTAATTATAACTAAACATTTCAATAAAAACATATCGTATTTAAAGGCGGCAAGGTATAAAATAAATTTATTCAATTAGTTGTACTTTCATTTAAATCATCTTCGTCTTCATCATCATCTTCTAGTTCAGGCATGGGAAATCGTAATATAGCTGCCACGCCAGTAATTTGTGATAACTCTGATGGTATACAAAAAATAAATTAGTCAATCACTAGAAATTTAGTGTCATATGGAAAACATAATTTATTTTATAACTGTATACTTGTAAAAAAATAAAAATTTTACATGGTTTCTATTTAATTTTTTTTTAAAACTTGTACATACGCTCTCCTGTAACATGCATGCTTGAAAATATTTTTACATCTCCACCCGACTCTCGTACACTATCAACTAACTTAACATAACGTTTACGTTGTAATATATTTTGACTCCTAAAAAAAAAAAAATCAAGTTTTTGACACAAAATCAGTAAGAAAGGTAATCATTTACCTGAATAAGCTATCTGTAATAAGTAATGTTTCAATCGCCATAGCTTCATTTGCTTTTTCAACATGGTTAATTCCATAGAAAGCTCTGGTTGATTCTGATTGCAACATTTTATAAAAGTTATCTAACGCTTTAAGCTCACCAAGTGCTTTTGTATCCTCGAGCTTGGCAGCAATGGATGGGTTTGATAAAACTTCTGAAAAAATTAATAAATCCAAATTACAATTTATTATTTATTTTATATTCAACTTATTGATTGGTAACAATTAGGCAATGTTTATACTATTAATATAGTATACATAAGCATTATTTAAACTTTAAATTAAATACAGTTTAAGTACATTTTTACAATGAAAATCAAAATAAGTGTAATTGTTTTCACCAAATAATATGCCATATAAAAGAAAAAATAATAAGAATTAAATTTTATCTTTTAATACTTTTTAGTTCATGAGACATAACCAGCTATTCATATTACATCTAATCATAGTTTACCTACTAAAATAATAGCAATTTAAAATAAAACAAGCCCTTTTAGGATCATATGATTAACATAATGTGGTAGGCAGTTGAAAACTGTTGGACAAAAATGTCTTCATCAAGGGGCATTGCTTAACAATGACTTTATAACTGTATAGCACTTTATCAGTTAAAAGCAAATGATACACTAATAGTTTCTTATCAATTAATAATTATTAATTGTACACATTTTGGAAAATAATATTATCGAGTATACTCAATAATTTGTAAGTTCTTTTTCACTGTTATTAAGTGATCCACTTTTACTTCTAGTTAAGACTCCTCATCGTTTCATTTGATTCATTTATCATTCTAAGAGTATATTTTATATTAAATAACTAAATAAATAGTATGTTTGTAAAATAACTTAAAATTAAAAATAGTATTCAATGACAAAAGAAAAGAAAAAAGAATAAGGTAATTTTAAAAAGAAGATGAGAAGTCCTTACCTTTGAGTGAATGTTTAAAACCACTAGATGCATGTGCCATGATAAATTTTGATTTGTTTTCTAGGATTATTTTATTGTCAGTTTTGACAGCTTCTTGTATGATGTATTCGTAAAATTGATCACGCACAAAACCAGGACTGGCAATTATTGTACATTTGACAACATCAAATTTGATGTGGCGCAATATTGCTTGCATCACCAGCTCAAAAAACTTTAATATTCCCTAAATTTGTGTTAATTTTGTAGAATTAATAAAAAGCTCGTGCAAACTACATCATGTTTCAACTACTTTTTCGTGTTGTTTTACGTCTCCTTTGCGTTTTCTAGGTATATTATGATCAATTTTCGCTCGTACTATTGTGCGACTTCCAGAAATCAAACAAACGTGTGCTAACCCTTCTTGCATTATAACAGCTGCTACATCAGCAGTCTAAACAAAAAATAATCATATAATAGAGTTTGCTACAATTGGAGGATCTGGAAATTAAGTGTTATACCTGTGTTGGGTCAGTAGCCATTTCAATTCTTTCTAGATCAATGGAATCCCATTCTTCTTTGATAAGTGAAAATTTTCTATTTAATTCTAAATCTATTGTATGATATGCTCCCATCTAAAACAAAAATAATGGTTTAAAATAAGAACATGTAGATTAAGAATTGTGCTGAGTATACTAACGAGTCAATACTAATGGATGTCGCACAAACTACTGCAATTACACTTTTTTGAGTAATCATATATAATATAAGGTTATTATATTTCATTAGTGTTATGTAAACTGATAAATTAAGTTAAATATCAACAAACAATTAAATTATGCATATACATCTGATCAAGAGTAAATTTGATAATATTTACCTTAACATATTCATTTTCCTCAATGTTTCTACCTTTAAGACGCAGTAGGCAAGCTTGTGTGTCAAAATCTACAGTTTCCACGTTTATTGTTAATGTTGTCCTAACACGGTGGCTAGTAGATGAACCGGTAGCTGATTCATTCTGTACTTTCCTAAACAAAAGTAGCATAAATTAAAGGAATTGATTATAAAAAAAATGTATAAGTTAGGATTAAAATAGTTTGATTTAATATTTAAAAAATGATTATTTATACAATTATTAATATACCTATGACTTTTTATAGATGTATTATCATAGGTTAATATAACATATTAATTCATATTTAACCTATAGTATTATTATTTTTACTGTGTGTCATATACTCATATAGTATAGTATTTAGTTGGGTGATTTATTAATGGCAATCTCCCGTAGTATTGAAATTTTAAATAAATAAATAAATCAGTTTCATGTAAAATATATTTTATATTAGTTTTTTTTATATACCTAATAGTAGATGCTCGCACACGGTCACCCTCTCTAATGATATTGTATGCTTGCCACATATCTTCGGCTTCTTCAGGTATGAGAACCACAGTTCTAAAACCAACAATTTTTTGAATTATTTGATAAACGTATCGTTATGAAATCTATTACGAACCCTTTGCCATCTTTTTCAATATCTTTATGGATCAGTTTCATTGTGCCGGCTACCTAAGGTCGCTTTTTATTGTTCATCATCTAAACATTAAGAACAATATCATTTTTCGCCTACGTGTATAATGATGGACTTAAAATATTAACAACATCAACAACAACAAATCATATTTACATATGATACCGCAAATTAGCGGTTGTACTCGGACAAACAAATGTCTCAAATTAACGTGATCTACACACAAGACCCAGCAAAAAATCGTCAATCAACTTGATAACACGAACGCAATGGTGTGATAACAAACAGGTGGCCATTGAACAAATAACTCAGCATTTATGTGTACATTACAGTTTTTGTTTTATGAAAAAATTCTAAAACATTTTGAACTCAACCATTTACCATCCTATGGGATTAAAAAAAAAAAAACTTTTTTCTAAATTAAAGATACGTGTATTAGTCGAGAACAATTAGGTATAAATTGCAATACAAACGCATTTAATTCACAGATAAATAATTAAAAAAGTTGGTTGCACTGATTGATTTTTTGAGCGCTGGATTCTTAGTGTAAATAATTTTACCGCAAATTTTAGTAAATCAAAAATTATGATTTATGTACCAGGTATAAGAAAAATAAAATAGTTTCTTTTGGACAACTTTCATTTCTCGTTCTCATCTTTAATATTAATCCAGTAATGTTACCTTAATACTTTAAGTACAAAGATATTGAACTATGGATAACAACTGGAAAGTATTTTTCGAAGAATTTGCCGATACGGTGAGAAGTGAGCAGCTGCCGGTCAAATTACCGAGGTTCGATTTGGATTTGGGCGAATTAGCTGGAGCTGCAGCTGACTGGTGTCACCAATATTTAAAAGACAGGTATATACATTTTATTGGCGGTTAAACAATACAGTTGTGAAATAATTTGTAACAAACATATATTTTTAAAACTACGGGAAAAATTTTACTGTGAACATCTAAGAGAAATTTCAATATAATTTTGATATACAACATTTTCAAAACTCTTAAATAAGTACAACGAGATGTAAAGTAATTACTTTAATCTCCAAGCAGTCGCATCTTAAAAAGTCTCATTGGCGGTCGCTCGGCTATGATAACCCTGCCATTTAGTTTCTGTAATTAAAAAATACCAAAAGTCACAATGTTAATCATGCATTCATTAGTGCTTTGGAGGATAAAGTATATTAAAGATATCAAAAATATTTTAATAATCACTGACACTAAACTCCAAAAAAAACATGTCAATGCTTTACTACTTTTTAGTCCCACCAAATCATTTTATATGTATATTTTACTGAGTAAAGAATTTTCTTCTTGTATGATTCTTTTAAGACAGGTTTTACTTAATGAAATAGTTTCATTTATTATCAATTTGTACAAATATAAACTATTTTTTTTTTATCAGGAAATGCCCAACAGATCTTATTGTATGCTTGACGCAAAAAGTCATTAATGAATTAAGAGTTCCATGGACTGTTGAACCACAATCTTTTGGTTATCGCCCTGAAAAAAAAGGTAAGATTTTAAACTAGTATATACTTAACGTAAAATGTTGATAACACGGTACTACAATGATTTTCTTTTATCTTTTTTTATGCTAATTAAAAATTAGTAAATATATTTTGTATATAATATATTTATTAATTTTATACTTTTTTGTCAAAAAATATGTTCTAATATTAAAAAAAAAAAAGGTATATAAATTATGGAATTATATCCTTTTTTATTTACATTGTATTGATTAAAAAAAAAAAAAAACATGGAATTAGACAAAAAACAATTTTGAAATTTTTTAATACCTATTTTATATTTATTTATAAAAAGTATATTTCATAGTGCTATATAAATGTATGTTACCTTAAAATTTAAATAAAGTATATAAGTATAATTTGGTTTTACAATATTGTAAAACCAATACAATATTTTTTTAGCCTGTTGTTTATTTCGTTTTGTTGGAGATTATGCATTCTATCGATTGTAACAATCAGGGAGATAATTACAAAAATATATTTTTAGATTTAGCCTAATATAATACATATAAATAAACAATTATTATTTATATTCGGTTTTACAGATTATCAATCCTTATGGTTAATGCAACAAGTAATTGGGAAATTAAATGAAATTTGTTTAAACTACAACCCAACTCTATTAGAGTTGTACCATCCTTCAAAATCTTCAGTATGGTGGTCATCATTCATTTTGAAAAATGCCAGACGCAGCATGGAAGATTATATAACAGTTGTACCATTCCTGCATACACTCTTTGATATTAAGGTGCACAAGTAAATTTTTATGAAAAATACTAAATAAGAACATAACATTGTGGTTTTGTATACAAATATTTAGCTGTCATAACATTTTAATACATTCAAGTGCTGTTATAGATTTTTGTGATGCATGTATAAAAATTCCAATTATTGTGTACATTTAAAATATCTGGATTTATATTATAATTTACATTAAAAAAAATTAAATTACACAAAACATTAAGTTATGAATGAAACTTTTAAAACTTGATAATTTTTTCTTATTTGATATATTAATAATTAAAACAATCAGTTAATTAAGAAACATTGTTGCTAGTGAATCTAAAATTTCTGTATTATTAAAACACTTTATATTCTCTCAAAATGAAACCATGAAAAATACTGTAGTTAACTGAAATATTAATTATTAAGATGATTATAAATATATCAATAATTTAACTATTGATTTGTAGGGTTATGCCGAAGCTTCGTTTTATGCAGTGTACGATGGTCACAATGGACATGATGCTGCAGTTTATAGTTCCATGTATTTGCACCAGTTTCTCGTGCAGTCATCTTATTATCCAACTAATCCTGAAAATGCATTTTATGATGCATTTTTTACCACAGACAAAATGTTTACACAAAAAACTGAAAAATACGTAAGAATATAAAATAATTTTGTATAATATATATGTTACAATAACAAATCTGTATGTATATATATTTTTGTTAGAATTTAGTGAGTGGTACTACAGCAGTATGCGTTTTGTACAGGCCACAAGAAAAAAAAATCTATGTAGCTTGGGTGGGTGATTCATTAGCTACTCTTTGGAAAAATGGAACTCCGTTATCATTAGTAAACAAACACGTTCCACAAAGAAATGTATGTAAATTAATTATGTATTATTTGTATTGTTATTAAAATCAAAATGTTTATATTGTTATATATTGTTTGTATTTTGAATACTTTTTAAAAAAATGTTGACAAAGTACATAAGTACTAAAATTATTTTCCCTTTTTTGTTATTTAACATTTTTAACATACAATTCATTTTTGTAGGACGAAAATCAAAGAATAAGGGATGAGGGTGGAATAATTACAAATTATCAAGGTATTTATCGTGTTGATGGTCAGCTATCAGTGTCCAGGGCTATTGGTAAGTTCTATCAATTATGTATTTAAATTAATTTAAATGTCTTTTCATTGCAAAGTGAATTTAATTTAGGTAGAAATACAGGTAATTAAAGTTGGTCTTTTGCATATTGAAAGTTTCGATTTTAAATTATGTAAATTAAAAGTAGACTTAACACTAGGTATCAACTACTGATTGACACAAGAAGAAAATAATGACATTATTTACAAATATATATTAAGTGGGAACTTGGTTTACAAAACTTTAACTTTTTTTTTAAATAAGGTAAATATTGAGTATTTTTTTGTCATTCAAATATTTTTAACTATATTTTTGAAATTTTAACACAAGTTTAAAGTTTACATAAGTGAAGATAAAACTATCGTTTAAAAAATAACTATTTCTGTCAAAGTTTTAGATATATTTATAGCACCACTGTTTCCTTAACAATGTTGCAACTGCAAGTGTTCTATAATATCCATATAACATTTTATTTAGATTAATCTATAACATTTTGATAAAAAAAACTGTTTACTTCATAACCGAGGATTTTCACTTTATATTAGGAATTATCAGAATTAAACCGATTAATAAAATAGATTTTTCTCTCTCTTTCACAGTTTTGTTAAATATAATTCTAAAGAAAACGGAATTATTCTATAATGAACGAGACAGCGTTCGAGACCTTTTGTGTAGGCAATAATAGTACGTAAATACTAGAGTTTTTTACTAATTGAGTCCATATTTTCTCTCTATGTAAACTTCTAATATTCATTAATAATTAAAAAAAAAATTCGCAAATGTTGTCTTTAAACCACCTTTTTTGTTTAATATCTTCACCAAAAGGAAGATAAAATGTATAAATATAGGAACTGATAGTCGACAAATTTTGTTTTTTGTACTGGCACGTGAGTAGTTTCTGAATTTTCTTGGTCAGTTCATACCTTCAAAGTTTAATTTAAGAATCGAGTATAAATCTTATATACTGTACAAACGTACACACAAAAAAAATTATTTAGCATTTAACAACAAAATCAAATGTCATTTTATATTATACAAATTTCCCTATTAATACCATTTTTTGGTTTTCGATGAGGCTCATCCTAAGAGATACTTTTACAAAAGCACATGGGGTATTGGTAGCGGGTGGCTAATTTTAAAAGTGCGTCATCGTATAGTAATTATTTTATTTTAATATGAAAATAAAACGGAAAATATATAACGTGTAATTACCCTGTACTTTAAAATGTATGCAACAAAATGCGTCATAGATTTATATTAAGATGTTTATCGACGAATTTGACAGTTATATTGATGTGATGACTTCTCTGAGCTCAGTGTTGCTTGTTAAAGAAACAAAATAAAAAATTATTTTTTATACATTTCATAATTAATGTATAATGTACCCGTCGTTATTAATGCAATAAAAACTTGTGAAAAAAAAAAGAGTTTATAAATCATTTATAATTATATTATGTGATGTGTTTTTGTACATGTAGGCGACGTCCGGTACAAGCCTCATATCTCTGCTAAACCGGAAATGAGAGCTATAGTTTTAGATGGAAACGAGGAGTTTTTGGTGTTAGGCAGCGATGGGCTCTGGGACCACGTGGACACAGAAGACGTTGCCGATACTATCTATGACGAGCTGCTAGAGGCCGAAGGTTAGTAAACGAATGTTGCTACTTATTATGGTGTAATATTTATTCATATAATATACGAGGGTGTCGTTTGGGCACAAAACCGGGAACACATCAAATGCCGGGATACAAAAGAAGAACGCCCCTTGTCAAATGTCAGTAGTTGTACATAAAGCAGACAAATAGCCGTGTTTGGCTTACACGAAATTGCTCTGTCCGGGTAATAAAACTAAGGCTTTGCGTATCAATAGGTTTTTATTTTTGGAGGAGGGTCCGCGTCCCTCTTGTACGAAAATCAATATAATATGGGAAGTTGATTTAATTTACTTTTTCGTTTTCTTCGGACGTCCTCGAGTTTTGGCATTCGCCTGTCAATTAATGCGCGATTGCCATTTCCCGGCCAGGTACGGTGCACTGGGTTGCGGTTTTTTAAAGGCTCTGTTGCACATGAATTTTCATCGCCTGTCTCTCCATAACCTTGTCGTGTCCTTGTCTGTTTTCGGTCGTGCAGCCGCCACCGTGGAAGAGTGCAAGATCCTGAGCTAAGCGCACTATAGACGTGTTTCTCTATGGTGTTTCATCGCCAAAAAGAACACGACCACAGTCGTTGTGTTTCCCCCACCTGTGGGCTGCTGATATTTTCCTCGGCTCACTGCAGATATCTCCGCCCGTACATGACATTGACGGTTAACACTGTTGACGGCGCACGCGAGTTTTCCGCTAAGTTTTACTCTCTCCGCGACGGCAATATACATAAATTATTGGAAACAATATCGTCAAACCCGACGTGTCCTGATCGCGGTTGGATCATTCAAATGAACGGGTTAGTATAACGCATGCAGCTATTATTTGGGTCTCCTACCTCTAGACAAATTGTGAGCTTCTAAAGTACGAGTAAAATTATTGGTGTAGAAACCTCTTGCCTGTTGTAACCTGTATTCGTAGCAGTTGTGAGGTGAAATAAACACGATCAGAAATATTCAACTAGCACAGCTCTTGTATTTAGTTAATTAAAACCCGTTTAGAACTGAACGAATACCATAATCTAAACTGTTAATTAGTTATTACTTATATAAAAAAAAAAAAAAATCGTCACTCTCCACTATAAATACGCCACTGATACTCAATGATTCAGAATAAAGATGAACTCGTGACAATCTTATCAGTTCGCAAGCCGCTTTAGGGACGGTCGTCTTTAAGAATGATTAATAGTAGGTTGATAAAATGGTATTACCGAGCATTTATAGATGACAAACTTCTATCGATTTCATTATTTTAAGATATTGCAATTTTAATTTTAAGTAGATATTTTCCACGTTGAACTCATTATTCTTTCTAAAAGCAATTAATTTTATTTTCGTCCGCCCTTTTAAATTCTTGTCGTTACAGATTTTACGTTGCATGCAAATACTTCAGCTGTTATAAAAGCGATCATTATGGTCGACGACTACCATCTGCTGTTTCTTCTTTCGCCGACACTAAATCATCTCGAGATCTACTATGAGTTCAATGGTTAGAATTTGTTTTATAACTCTATAAATATCGCACTTAAATCACAATTGACTTGTTATCGAAAATATTTGTTTTCTTATGTGAATTGTAAGAATAAACACATCAGATTAGTAGGTATAAGATTTATAACGATTTGCAATGTCAACATCAGATTTTTGCCAGACGTTGTATCCTTGACCAATTGAACGATGCAACGATAACAGATTTTGACAACCTAATGGTATTTAATATTTTGCTTATTTACCAGAAACAAATGAAGTATTTCTGGTAAATGTTTCACACATTATAATATATTTGTTTGAAACTATAGTTTATAATAGTTGTGTGATAACTGATAGCGGCGTACACGAATCGACGAGGGGCATAATACGTATGTCCACTGTAAGATTATTTTTAATACATCATGAGAAAACTACTTACCTTCAAGGTTCCTCCAAACGACAGGTCTCCATTATAATTGGTCACGCATCATTTGCATTGTGTATAGTTTTTCTTTTATATTCTTATAGGTACTATGTGTAATGTGTACCTTTCCACAACCTTCTCGTTATGTTATACAAATTCTCAAACGCGCGATATTAAAACGCTCGTCTCAGGTTTCTGTAGCCGATGGTTTTCGCCATTTTTAACCAAACTACGGGCACTGCGGCACGCCGAAGCTTTTCAATCGTAATAACCATCTCGACAGCATGACGTGAATTCATTGTTATTTTTTTTATAGTTTTTACAGTCAAGTGCAATGTATATTTTTCTCCACATATACCACCTCGGCTTACTAGTACCAGTTACCTGTACAACGTATCAATCACCGTGTACCGGCAATAAATCACCGTAACCCTACCGCAAAATGACACCTTCTATACGTTTATAATATATTAATGTATCGGTATAAAAATACACATTGATTTAACAGTCCCGGTTTGTTTTCCGATTTCCTCGCCTCGGCCATGCCGAGGATGCACCGCGAGGTGGTTACACAGTTGGAATGTGATGAAAACAGAATTGCATCGGTAGAAATTGTATTGAAATTAACATTGTTAATATTATAACAACAACGGTTCCTTAAAAATAACCAATTAGTCCACAGCCAGTTCGAATTAATTACACCGTTTGCCGTCGCCCGTAACTGGTGGTTACTATTTTGTGAAGTCAACAGAATCCTAATTGACAGGATGTCCTCGAAACGTGATTGATACTATCGGAGTGCTTTCCACCATTGGCAAACACAGGAAGCGCGCATTGTAACTATCCATAAAGCGTCGACCGCTGGCGGGTGAAGGGGCCCATAACAACGTTTTGTGATTATCGTTAAAATTATTATTTTTATTATTGGTAAAGTCGTTCGTTCGAAGAACCCAGTGATATTTTCCGGTCGTGTTATCCTCTTGGATTTTTTTCTAATGTCGTCCTCTCGTCCCCGTTTGTATTAACCCACAAGTATTTATCACTGGCTTTTGAGGATTTTCACCTTTAATAGGATTAAGTACCAACTGAAATTGCTCGTGTTGAAACATAAGAATGACGGTAATCGACTTATATTTACCATTTATTTTCTCCATGTTTGAACCTTGAACAAAATTCGAGAATCCTGTTATACATAAATGTGTATTTTAGTTTTGCGTAGGTTTTAATTTGATAAATGCGATGTACAAATATTATTACCATTTTTTTTTTATTGCAAAATGTTAGGTCACTTATTTTTATAGCTATTAATTTTGTTTTCGTGCTGTGTTATTGTTATTGCAGTCGAATAATGTATAGTGTATACCAAAAATATGTTATTGATATAATTGTAGTTTTCTTTAGTTTGTGGTTTTAGTACTCAACGAAAGGATTTCCTTTCTGTTTTCAGTCGCCGTTAACATAAAACGTATATAATATAAATCTATATATATATATATATATATATATATAACTATACTACATATTATATCATATATATAAAATAGTAAAGTAGCTAGTTTAATTACTCAATTATTTGAAAAGACTTGTTAGACTAAAAACACAAGTATAAAGGAAAATATTTTGTAATCTCTTATTTGTTTATACAGTTACCTTAAGGTTTGGCAAACTTTAAGTAGTGTTCTCGTTTCGCCAGAAGAATTGCGGTAATTGCTACTTGCTAGCATCCTAGTGAAAAATAAATTCGTTATATATGAGTCATAACTTATGAGTTATGACCTGTATGATTATGAAATTGATTTCGACGCTTTACAAACTATATAGAACGGAATTCGTGACGTATGTTTTCGGTTTGCTTCACCCGCTCTCTTTCATTCAACTAACAACTACATTGACTCATTGTTGTTAGTATTGCGTCACAGGTTTATATTTTAGGTTAACTTTCATAACGCTAATTCCGACTTTAACCTTTGCCGAAGAGGGTTTAAATAAAAATCATAATGGTTATAACAATTGCCCTGTGTGTGGCATTCCTTGACGTCGTTAAAATTGGATTAAGTACTTATAGTCATTTTACTCTATCGTCTCGGTTTCGGTACTCGGTTTTTCATTGAGGCGATTTTCTCGCGTGTGACTTCCTATGCATTATATTTTGATGACAACCGTTGTTTGATAAACTCGAAGGTACCTTGGAAAACGAAAGTGAAATTCCAACCATCATGACTCCACTGCCAAACGTTGTTTCAGATTAGATATATATTTTTGTCTTGCCAGCGCCCTATTCATATTAAAATAGCGCCGTGTTTAAGAAACGACAACAACAACGTTCTTGTCCAGTTTAATTTCTCGATAGTTTACAAAAGAATAATGAATATATTAAATTGATAATATTATAATATGGCCATTTTTTTTTTTAATATAATACGCCCATAAATGTTTATTAGGATATTAAGATTTATGAGGATCAGTGAGTTGGAGGTAAAGTGAATCTTAGTGATCCAGATCAAGTGTGAGCAATCAACTAGGTAATCCTCAAATGTTTTATAAATCATAGGATAATGATCGTTAACCACACGACATATAATAATATAAATTTAAATAACCGGAATATTACAGCCTACGCGTAGACTTTCCACCGAGTATGAAGTGACGCATTAAATGTATACACGGTTTGATTATATTTGTACGCATGATGAGTTAATTCAATACTTTAGTGTTTTATTCCTTCATTTTTTTTTTTAGATATATTACAACTGCAAAATGTTTTAAAATAATCGCGTTTATAACGCAATAACAGTTTAATACGAGAAACGATTGAACGAAAAACACTTCTCGTTTCCCTTAACTGTTTTATTTTCTTATGCTGAGTGCTAAGGATCCGTTACAAATTGTGTAAATTACTATCGCGTAGTAAATGTATAATTTATGGTACATAATTTGTATCAAATGGGGTAAACAGTACTTAATGTGTACGACTTTCTTCCATGGCCAATGTTTAAAATATTTATACTGTTGCCAGATGTCATGTGTACGAAAAAGTAAACAAAACGATGCATTACCTTAATAAACGAAACGTATCCTTTATAGTACTTATATTTCGTCTGGCGACA